ATTTACACCCAGAGGCTGGGCACACACCTAGGACACACACGCAGGCTTTGAACGGGGCTGACCAGGTTCTCCACAGTCAGCTCTCCACTGCGAGACTCAAGCTTCCTTCTACTTCTTGTTCTACCGCTCGGACCCGCACACAGCACCTCTCCTAATATAAACCAGACGTCTTTCCTGAACTCGCCCTCTCAACCACATCAGCCCCACCGTTCCCTTTTTCAGTCTCACAGAAAGCTCTCTGTCTCACAAACCAGCGTGGCCGTGGGGCACAAAGGAGAGCAGAGGCGCGTGGAGGGAAGGGCAGGTTTCGGAGGCTGAGGACGGCTCCGGTGAACACTGCGAGAGCTGGACCCGTGGGCTCGGGACTTCCGCAGCTCTGGGGGAACCTGGAGTTCACAGCAGTATAAACAATCAAAATTAGAATAAACAAGAATGATGGCCAACTTGTCCAAGAAATCTCCATGGAAATTAGGTATTCTTTGTGTTTTCTGTTCAATTGAAAAAGAAGACAATACCCTAATTCCTACACTCCAGTCACACCATCAACTTATTTACAGCTTCTCGGAAGGGTGGGGGGAAGGACTCATGACCACAGTAAATGCAAACACTGATTTTAAGACACATCCCATGCCAGAGATGTTGACTCTGGGAAGGGGGACCAAGTCACGAGGCAGGTGGGGTGTGGAGGAAGAGGGTGGGAGCGAGAGCACAGCCCAAATGCAGGAGGATCTGGTCCCTGGACAACCTCTTCTCACTCTGCTGAGCGTTGGCTGCCTCCATGGAGGGGTGGCTTTGAGTAGGCTGGGAGTTCACGGCCATGAAAGAGGGATGAAACGTCTACTCGTGGTGTGGGAGGGCTGCGGCTGATGAAACAGACGGCGAGTCAGAGACGGCTCTCGTGTTTCAGCACACAAAACCGCACCACGCACCCTCTGCAGACGGATCCCCCGGGGCAGGCTCCAGGCAGGTGCACAGACGTACACACCCAGGCTCAGGGTGTTGGAAGTTTGTTTATGGGAGCACTGGAAATACTTTTTTATGGCATTTTACCATGGAAATTTTACTGTCTGTGAACTGTACATATTCAAAGCTACCTATGAACTTTCCACTCCACTTTATACCCACACCACCTGATTTGTTCTCTGCAGGTTCTGTACTCTGTCCAGGGGCGTCCAACCTTTCAGCATCTCTGGGCCACACTGGGAGAAGAAGAGTTCATCAAATCCACTGTGGCATGTAACCACACACACAAAAATCTCCTAATGTTTTAAGTAAAAATGTACAATTTTGTGTTGGGCCACATTCCTAGCCACCTGGGCCGCATGCAGCCCACGGGCCGTGGGTTGGACACCCCTGCAAGAACTTTGGCTCTTAAGTGAATGTGCGTATTTGCATTGCTCAAGAGAAATCCGTGACTGGGAGACAGGCTAACGCTGTGGCGCTGAGTTGTGTTCTGACCGAGCGCCTTCGCACCTCGTGGTCCACCGCCACGCTGCACTGCATATCTGCAACCTTCACAAAGTTCCACTGTTCTTTTGAAGGGCATGTTTGGGGCTCTTTCTATAAGTAAAAGTGATAGCTTAAGAAGTTCAGCTGCCTAAAACCACGACACCACTCCCTACATGTATCTGTGAGAAGGGATGAGGCCCCATGAGAAAATTAACACCCACCCACATCATAGGGAGTCACCAGCAGAGGCGACTGATGCTTTGCTTCTGCGGAGATGTCGTTTGAGTTTCCCAAGTAGTACTTCCATTAACCATGAAAAGCTCAAGAAAACCGGGATAATGAAGAGAGAAATCAGAAGGAGACTATAAAAGCCCAGTGCATTTCAATAAGAAAGCAGTAACCATCCCTTCCCCCTGCTTTAAATTTCACAACGAATTCAAGTAACAAAATAAACAATCCACTGAGAGCACACTTTATGTACAACTTTAATTTCTTCCTACTGTGTTCATTACCAAGCTATTTGCTTTTCTTTAGGCAGGAGGAGGGGGAAACTTTTAAAAGACTCATTTAACGGAGAAGTCAATTTCCCCTAATGCAGTCTCCATGTGGCACATGCGGTCCTCGAAGCAGATCTACTACACAAACAGGCACGTACTGGCCTCTTCTTTCATAAGAACAACAGAAATTAGCTCACTTCCATCACTACTCTTATCCTGCAGGGGAAAACATGACTATGAGAACCGTATTATTTATAATAATTGCAAACTGGTTAGTGTTTCCGATTTTCACTTGTATAGAAACAGCTCTAATTATGCATAGAATAATGTAACTACTGTATAATCCAGATTTTACTTTCTAAAAAGTTAGGCAGGAAGTATTTCTCATGCACTCTGCCATGAGACAGCAGGGATTACGTGTTTCTATCAACAGTAGCTACCAAGCTACGTACCACAGAGTTTCCAGGCACTGCAGGCTTTGGGGTTTGTTAAAGGGGACATGACAGGGGAACACGGGCCACCAGAGCTTTCACGGAGTCACCAAGGGCTCCGCAGTCCTAACCACCCAGAAGCCACCTCTGTGCGTGCTCAGTGAGGGGAGAACACGAGGGCTTTGCACTGGTGTGTAGCAGGCACAGCAGACAGGGGAGAGAGGTGGAACCTGAGGGGACGATCCGCACCCAAGGCTCATCACAAAGATTCTAAAGATTCCAAAGATAGCCTGCCCCCGCCCCCAGCTCTTCAGATGACACCTACAGGTACAGACGGGGCTCTTTCGGGCAAGAGTGCACGTCCACCTTGTACAAGATGGACTTACAACCCCTCGACATTTCATCAAAACTCATTCGGCCCATAAAATCTAGCCAGTGGCAGCAAGATAAGGGACGTCTGCACACTGCATCCACTCACGTGCACCTGTGCACATCGAACACTAAGCAAGATGCTAAAGCTGGCCAGAAAAAGTAATTAAAATAATAGAAAATAATTCTTGTGCAGAATGCCCAATAGAACTTATCACAGATGTAAAGGTCTATGAAATAACATACATACATTAAGCCCTTTCCAAATTCTGGTCCAATAAAAAGCACCCAGAAGACATGTTTCAGATTTAGCTTCATCATTTCCATGTACAACCTGAGTCAGTTCTCCTTATGTGACTGCTCAAATGGCCGTGGGCTGTCATTTTCAGAGCACCATCACCTACATGATCGCAGCAGACCCTCTCGGCAGTCCTATGAGGCAGGTAGAGAAGGAGCGGCCCTGGTTAACACGTGAGAAACAGAGGTTCACCAGAGTAAACCAGTGAGAGGTAACGAGGACAGACTGGGAGCTCAGGTGACTGACTCCTACGTCGGGTGCTCTCTGGGGAAATTGCAGACAGGCTCGTCTCTCCCAACAAAGGGAAGAGTCCCTTTATGCTTACCAAGCACAGGATTCTGGCAACGGCTTTTTTTTTTTTTGCAATGTCATTTAGCCATCATATATGTCCCTGAAACAGCATAACCATTCCTCACCAATCTTTACCAGTCATTCATCTCCGGGATTACAGTTGCTTCTTCGAGACGTCTCGCCTTAGGGATCAGAGAACATGACCTGGGTTTCTACTGGTCCAGAGAGAAAGGGCCACTAATACTTGGTGACCTGCCCTCTGGCATACCACTGTTCTTTATTAACAGACACGTCGCCCTAAATAAGGCACGTTGGCTTGCTTTTACTGGACAGCCACTCCGCCTTAGAGCACAACTCACCAGCGGCACAGCCTCCCATTCCGTTCCAGACCTTCCAAGGTCTCCCCCTCCGCTTCTCCCTCTTTGTCAGTTCTCCCTCAAGTGACTCCTTACGTGGACGTGAAATGGGATTGTATGAACGATTATGAGACACCTTTTCATCCTCTTGTTCATGTCAATACTGAGCATCTGAGGGGAAAGCTAAAGTGAGTTCTGACAGTGCCAGGGGGTAACTGCGCCAGCGCCGAGGCACTCACTCCAAACCACCTGCAGGAGTGGAGCACTGTGGGTGCGTGGGCCTCAGACCCCCGAGGACACGCATCTGTTCTGGAAGACAAGGGCAGACCTCCACGTAACAGTGAAAATACTAGGCCCACAGAAGACAGTCTGACTGTTCTCGACAGAGTGATTTAACTGCTATGCCAGCCAAGGAAAAGGCTGATGAGGTCACGGCCCAGGGGTGAGGTCCCCAGCTAATCCGACTTCACAGAACCAAAGAAGTCTGACTGATGACACCTGTCCCCAGGGCAGAAGTCCACATCCCTCTGACTCAATGAGTCTTTCAGATCAGGGGCAACAACTCTGTAGGCTAGACTCTTAGCGCCCACGCAGCATGTGACTAACAGCATTTCAGAGTCTGGACAATGATACAATGATTAACTGGCCATTCAGACCCCAGAAAGGTCACACCAGCAGCCTGTCACTGCTTCAGAGCCACAGCGGCAGAGTGTGAAACGTGAATCCCACTGTGAGCTCAGAGAACGGTTCCAGTCAGAGAGGTGCTCCATGGCTGCTCATAAATGAAGTCCAAGGCTCCTAATATTGTCAATCATGTGCAGTAGGCACAAGGTAACTGTCAGTGGCAAAAAGATAGTTAGATTTTGCTTTTAGTTTTTTCATGAGCCAAGAAAAGCGGTTGGGTTAATGAAAATATTAGTTATTAGCTGTAAATTTTGGAAATGAATGCCACTTCTAAGAGTTTAGAGGGCTGCCTGATCGTAAATATTTCAAAGTGCACACTGTTAATTCAAGCCAGTCAATAATATAGCATAACCCTTCAGTTACACTACCAATGAGAAGAAATTTATTGACTAATTTTATCCTACTGAACTCCATGTCCAAAGGTTTGGGATGGATTATAGCAAGAAAAACGGCCTTGTTTTTATCAAAATATTATTTATTTCTCAAGCATTTCTAAAGCAATACCACATTAAGAGTCTTTAATCTGTTGAGTAGAGAACGGACTACTGACATTTCTTGAAAACTCGCTACAAGCCCGCGGGAAAGAATCTGACATCTTTACATTGTGTTTTCCTTAACTTGACAGGCAGTCAGCTTCCAGCACATGGACTTGAACTGGGATCTCATTTGGGAAGCATAAGTATCCAATCAACCTCGCTATTTTTTCATTTGGAAAATACTCACGTTCCAGTGGCTCACCATCCTGTGCTTCACTTTCCGAAAGCCTGGCAACCCCATGTGGACTCCTGGTAGAATGAGCAATGCAAAGAGCTGGCTTGGACTTGGCATGTCCTTGTACTTCTGGGGACTGATGGACCTTACGACCACTGTTCTCTCCAGCACACCAACACCACCAGGCAAATTAGAGGCGCTCCTGTCAGACAAGCCACAGTCACACCTGCGGACAAAGAGGAGCTGGGTTTGGAACCAGTTTTTTGTTCTGGAAGAGTACACTGGAACAGACCCTCTGTATGTCGGCAAGGTAAGAACCACCAAAGAGAAAGAAAAAATTATCAGGATGTTAAATACTGAAATTGACTAAGAACTGTGAAAACTCACCTAGTCCGTGTCTGTAGCCTAAGAACAACTTGAACTAGTGCTGCGTTACTTGGTGCCTAGCTGACCTTGATTTTTGCTTTGTCAGGTGACCAGTCAGAAAGGAAAGACTTCTCTCCACGCTCAGGCCTCTGTACTGAGCAGGGGTGGCCTGGGGGGAGGGACGAGGAATGGGATTTGGGAGGGGAAGCCTGGGACCCTGCCAAACCATTCAAGTCACAGAAGAGGAAGCAGCAGCCTTGGGAATGACAGGGTGAGGAAGGAAGAAACCTGGGAACACAAAGAGGGCAGCAGAAGGCCTTTTGCTTCCTACCCACCCCAGAGCATCCCACAGGCACTGTCTGCGGCCCAAATTTAATGGTGGGGGGGGGTACAGAATGAAACATACTTCAGTTCAGAATATCCTAGTATGTGCTTTACACTAAAGGATAGCTGGAGATAATCAATGAGCATATTTATCAACTTTATACTCAAATCCCCTTGATATATCTATCATTTCATTTTTAATCCAGGCTTTCTCCTATGTTTACATTATCTGGTTGTTAATCAGAGACTATTTTGTGAAAGCAACCAAGTGGAGAGGAGATGGAAAACAAAGAACTAATTAGAAAATAAATAATTCATTCCGATGATAACTTGAACACTTACTTAGCACAGAGGCTGAGAACATGGGTTTCGCGGTCACACACGTAGGTTCGAACCCTTCTCTGCCCATTCCTCCCGCAGGACTTTGGCCAGGTCCCTAAGCCCCATCAGCCTCTGTTGCTTTAATGTCTGATGGGAGAGTACGAGGATGACAACTTCTCGAGAGCTGTCTACATAAACTCTTCCCTCCTCTCCCACTCACTTCTTAGCCCAGTTATCTGATTCCGCGCCCCCACCGCTGTACTAAAGCTGTGTTTCCATGTGCCTAAGGACACCCCCAACCACGGCCAGCGCTGCACTCCACGGAACCGCCCGACAGAGGCCGACCGGCCGACAGAGGCCTTGCACGCTGCTGACCAGCAGCCCCTCCTCCTTGACTCACACTCCTCTCTCGGCTTCGAGGCCTTCACCACAACCATCTCTCCTCCTCCCTCTTAGCCTCCTTGCCGGTCCTCTCCTGCTCCCTGGCCCCGGTCACTGGGGGTCTTACTGAGCTTTGTCCCAGCCTCTTCTCTCCCCACACTCCCTCGTCCCCTGGGTGGACCCACCACCCCACGGTTGGAAACTGCCCCTGAAAGCCCACGAGTCCCAAACCTGCGTCTCCGGCTCAGACCACTCACGTGAGCTTCAGCCTCATCAACCTCCTCCACTGTGTGACTCGGAGCGGCCCCAGACGCAGTGTACCCGCCAGGAGTTCTTACCTCCCGCACAGACCGACTGCTCCCCCGGGCTTCTCTATATTCCCCTCGCCTGCATCACCCAGCTCCTAAAACCAGAGACCTGCGACCACCCTTCGCCCTCTCCTGCCCCTGCCAGTTCAATCCCAAACCCTTCGCTTCTCTCATCTCCACTGCCACCACTCTCTCCCTCACGCACACGCCCAGGTGCCAGGCCAGCGTCCTCACCTCCCCACACTTTCCACCAAGCGCTTCCCCACGGATGAGCCTTAAATACGTGAGTCAGACCATGCCACCTGCTTCCATCCTTCAAGGTCTTCCCACTGCACTCTGAACACACCTTCCAAGGCCACTCCTCCTGACGCAGCCCGCCTCCCGGCCTCCATACCACACGCTCCTCTCTCTTCCCCGCACCTGTGTGTCCCAGGGACATAGCCGAGTCCGTTCTACAACTTGCCAAGCTTTGCCTTAGTGTCAGCTCATCATGAAAGGCCCTTCTCCTGGCTCCACTCACCGTCGCCTCCTCCCCATTCAGATCTGGGTCTTCCCAAGCCAGTCTCTAAGGTAGACCCCCTGTGTCAGAGACGCTCACTACTGTATTTCTTCTGCAGCTCTCATCACAACCTACAGCATGTAAGTTATGTGTTTATTTACACGTGCATTGCCGGAAGCCCCAGACTAGACTATAAGCACTTAGCACAGCAGCCGGCTGAGAGGAAAATCGTAGTAAATATGACCCTGTAGTTGTAGAGGTGGTGGTGGTGGTAGTCATTGTTGCAGTGGTAACAGGAATAGTGGTAATAGCGCTGGTGGTGGTGACAGTGCTAACAGGAACAGTGATAATAGGCTCGGTAGTGGTGGCATTGGTGGCAGTGATGATAATAGTGGTGATAGTGATGGTAGCAGTGGAGGTGATGATAACAGTGGTGATAGTGACGGCAGCAGTGGCAGGGATGATAATAACAGTGGTCATAGTGACGGCAGCAGTGGCGGTGATGATAATAACAGTGGTCATAGTGACGGCAGCAGTGGCAGGGATGATAATAACAGTGGTGATAGTGACGGCAGCAGTGGCAGGGATGATAACAGTGGTGATAGTGACGGCAGCAGTGGCGGGGATGATAATAACAGTGGTCATAGTGACGGCAGCAGTGGCAGGGATGATAATAACAGTGGTGATAGTGACGGCAGCAGTGGCAGGGATGATAATAACAGTGGTCATAGTGACGGCAGCAGTGGCAGTGATGATAATAACAGTGGTCATAGTGACGGCAGCAGTGGCAGTGATGATAATAACAGTGGTGATAGTGACGGCAGCAGTGGCAGGGATGATAATAACAGTGGTGATAGTGACGGCAGCAGTGGCAGGGATGATAATAACAGTGGTCATAGTGACGGCAGCAGTGGCAGGGATGATAATAACAGTGGTGATAGTGACGGCAGCAGTGGCAGTGATGATAATAACAGTGGTCATAGTGACGGTAGCAGTGGCAGGGATGATAATAACAGTGGTACGAGTGGCAGCAGTCCCCTCAGCTCCTCCTGTCCCTTCTCTCCCTTCTCGTGCACCCTCAGTCACCACGCCCTGTCAACACGTCCTGCCTGTCTCAGATTCAGCCCATCCCTGCGGTCCGGGACCACAGGGGATGCCCATCAGATTCAGCAGGCCCTGCCTGCCTCCCTGTGGCAAGGCTCGCCGGTCCTTCCTCCAGGGCTCAGGACATTTTCCTCCCCCTGGCACCCTTTCCGTCCTGTTGCTCCTCTGATTAAGCTCCGGCTTCAGTGCTCTTAGCATATAGAGTTCAAGGACTTTCAGCAAAGGACTCCTGGTCCCGGACCCAGCCCTCCTCTACAGATTCTCAAATCTAGTCCTGAGCCAGCTGAGCTGGGTCTCCTTACTGGCTCTGACATGCGTACGACATGTGTCCCTACCCCAGACGTACATCCATGCGACTGTCCCAGCCCAGACATGCAGCCCCCCCTCTCCATTCGGTCACAGTCACATTCCTTGGGGTCCCAGCTGAAAAGCCACTCCCATCGTGCACACATCTTCCGTCTACTCAGAACTCCAAACCTTTCTTGCTACTCAGTATTTGTAAACTGTCTCTCCCAACTGGACATATACGGCTACTGCTAAAAGAACTCTAGGAAAATGCGTCTGCATCCAGTAACTGCTCTGTGTGCAGGGACAGCTGAGAGCCCCCTTCCCTACTCACGAGGGGAGACACTGAGACCCCCCTCCCAGCCATGCCCACACCTCCCCGCACCGAAAACCCAGCAGACATGGCACCCAGGACGCAGATGGACGACTCTGTGTGTCAGCTGGTCACACCCACGCAGAGACTACTCAATCCCCTTAGCGACGCTGTGAGGGAAGTATCGTTCTCCACTTTCAGATAACTAGAGAACTTAGCTCACAGAGGTTCTATTCATCACCCAAATTACACAAAAGTTAACCAACAGTCAAAAGCCCAGATGACAATATGGCCCAGAATCTGACCCCAGAGCAACTGGCTTTCCTTTACTTTGCCCGGCATCCACGGGGCCCTGCCTTTAGATGGAGCCCTGAAAGCCGCACAGAAGTGCAGCGGTGTTCGGGTGGGACAGGAGTCCAACCAAGCCCGCTGCCTCCTGACGCCGGGAGCACTTGGCTCTGCGGCACCTTCCAGTGCTCACGATGAGGACTCACCCTTTCCTACTTACCCCTCCCCAGGGCGCAGGACACCCCAGGCATCCCTCAAGTCACCGTGTCCAGCAACACACCAGCAGCCAGTGCAAGTTGTCACCCTGCACTGCTGTGCCACCCCCACACAGTGAAGATAATTATCCATTCACTCACCAGGCACTTCAGCCCTTTCCTTTCTTTTGAAAGAGACTCGTCTACTTTTCATTCCCTTTACACCCCGGGAGCACTCAGTTTGCCACCTTGAGCTCTGGAAGATGTCTGTTTAGTGAGTCTGCCTGTTTGCTTATTTCAGAAAGGAGCATGGCAACAATTATCAGCCGTAATTGGTACGGCCTTCCGGAATCCACACTGAGTTTCCGGGGGACAGGCAGTGTTGAGCTAAAGCTGGACTGTACTGACCCGTGCACAGGGGGTGCAGAGAGCCTGTGCTCGTGCCCGACCCTGCGTTCTGAGTAGGCCGAGGGTAACAGCTGCACGGAAGCTGTCTAACCACACGCGGCACCCCTGGATCTCCACAAGGCGCTGTGGACGGGGGCAGAAGGACTGAAACTCACCCTCATTTGAAAAATCCTAAATCAACTAAGATCTTCCTAATCTGTGGGTACTTCCCATCAGTCACTACTCCTTTGCTGAAGGAGTCACTACTGCCTCCCTGTGTCACTACTCATAGACTGAAGAAGTGTCAGACTGAGCAGAATTTCCACCTGTCTCATTCTGTCTAGGAGACAGGGGGTGGGGCATGTTTTCCCAAGACATACAAATTCTGTCCAGAAAGTATCCATCCATGTAATATGAAAAAGAGACATTTACTGAAGAAGATACAAGAAACACTGTACACAGGACAATGACACCTCAATCCCCTTCAAAGTAGGCACCTTGGGACCTCACACGGTTCTCCCAATCCCCATCAGCTGCCCCAACATGTTTTCCTGAATCTCATCAATAGTCTGAAATCTCTCTCCTTTCAAAGGTGGTTTTAGTTTTGTGAAAAGCCAGAAGCCACAGGGCACCAAGTCTGGGCTGTAGGGGCCCTGAGTCACCTGGGTGATTCGATGTTTCACAAAAAACCTCTGCACAGGACATGATGTATGAGTAGGTACATTGTCGGGATGAAGCTGCCAATCAACAGTTGCCCATAGTTGCAGCCTTCTGAATCATCTGAAGAGTTTCTGCGGAGGAATGTTCAAGCTTAACGCAGAATTTGATGCAGGTTCATTGTTCTACTCACTCAGTCATTTTGAATGCAACTGCCACACAGTACACATGCTCACTCACCAGCATCTACCACCCCCACTGACTAGTACAGTGAAGTCGTCATTGTTCACACATGCGCACTCCAGTCCACTCTCCCTGTCTGCCGGGTTACACTGATGTCATGTAAACCATTCTCATTATATCAACAACGGCTGGACTTTTTCCAGACAGACCTTGTACATGACTGTGTGCTTCTTACTTCCTCCAAAGAGCTGCTGCTCAGTCAGCATCAGCTGAATTAAATGTGGATAAACACAAGACATTTTTATTACAGTGCCCATCTGCAGAGTGACTCAGAGAAAACTGTTAAGGTCTCCTCTTTGCAATTCCCACAGCCATATGTGCACCCGTGGCCAGAGAACCTTCCTACCAAGCGCACATTGCTACGCTGGTCATTGGGTTAGTCGTCACCCGGCTCCATACTCGCTTCTCTGGACTCTGCTCTGTGATGCTGGTGCAAGCTATAATTTCTCCTTTTGCAACCTGCTCCCTGGTGGGTTCTGACAGTAGAATGTTCTAGAGGGAGAACCACTGGAGGCAGGAGGAAGGGGAAGGGACTGGCTTTTACCCAGCCAGCAACTGACTCCAGTTCCTGGGTTCTGTCCATATGCCCAGCACCAGCCTCATCAGAGCCCCTCACAAACATGAGCACCACGGAATGGCATCCCCTTCTCAGGTTCCTCAGTTCTGGGCGGGGGAGCTGGGGACACCTCCTCTGAGCTCCTGAATTCCTGGCCCCAAGGGGCAGCACTCCCTCCTCAGGGGTGGCAGGCCCAGCCTCCTCCAAACATCTGGATGCTAAAGGGCCCGACCTTGCCCCCTGCTCCCACAGCCAGAGGGGCACCCACTGTGTCCTGGAGTCATGACCCCTCTCGTACCTCAGGGTCCCTTTTTGCCTTCTCATAGTCAACTGTATGCTGAAATAACAGGTGTGGGTTTTGGTATCTGACTGGATCCTGACCTGATATAATTATATTCCCCAGAAACCAGTTTTCTCTAAGTAGATCCTGGCCCCTTCATAGCTGGCTCTCTCCCTGTTCATGAGCAGGGCCCCCTGCTTCTCTGCAGTGTCCTCACGCTTCAACCCTCCACTCTCCTTCCCTTCCCCCTCCCTTGCAGGGATGCACTAGCAAACACACACTCAACTCCCTTACAGGGATGCACCAGCAAACACACTCAACTCCCTTATAGAGATGCACTAGCAAACACACACTCAGAAGCCACTTGGAAGATGTTTGCTAGCTCTTTTCAAACAAAAGTAAACTGATTTCACAAAAAGTTTTAACCCTAACCCCACACCTTACACCACTGTTTCAGTAAAAGTTTTTGAGCATTTACTCCATGTGAGGACCCACACCAAGATGAAAGCCACAGGGTTTCTGACTTCAAGGAAGTCGCAGCTGCAGTGGAGAGAGGTCTTTAAACTCTTCCAGCTCACCGGTACCACATGAAAACAAAGACAACAGATCAGAGGTTCGGCAAGGCTACTGACATCAGCCAGCCAGATGGTTCTGGAGGAACCAGAACCTGCTCCGTAGGAGCAAAGATGTTTAGCCTTCAGTTACTTACTGAGCTCTCTCCATGGGCAGAGCACTTAAACTTGGCCTGTGATGATCACGAGTGTACTTAGCTTTGTTATGGTTCAGAGAACAAAACTATTTAGATGACAATAGAACATCTCAAAACAGTCCTGGGCTCTTCGTTTATGTCAGCGTCTATTGTTTCTCTCTCCCCTAAATAATCCGCCCAGCCCTGAACTAACCTGTTTCATTCTAAGTGGAAGTCCTATGCCCCATGACTCAGCATTACATAGCTACATTTATATTTAGATGTGGATATATGCAAACACAAGCGTGCGCAGATATTTTTTATTTAAAGACAACCCTGAGATCCTTGTCCTCCTTCTCCCAATGCCATTCCTCTTCCTGGGAACACAGTTCCACATGGAGTGGATTTTCACTTTGTGGCCACATCTGAATAAAATGGCTTTCTCTTCTACACAGTAAGAGATGTGCACCTCTGCCTTTTTAACTGCAAAAATAGAAGGTCTGGATTGCAAAAGATCGTAATAATACTGCATAAGGAATGAGGCAATGTGAGCACTTCATATTCTACATAGAATCCTTTAAGTAGAAAAAATCCACAGCTATTTTTTCGGTCAATTTTGTTCTCTTATTTCCCTTCCCTAGATAAGACACAGCTGAGTTCCTCTAGGCAGAAAATCACTGCCTGCATGATTTGGCCTCGAGTCAATTTGAGATCAGCTCAAAGCCAGCCACGACCTCCAAACCCGTCCTTGTCTGAGGGTGTTGTTTTCAGGTGTCTTCTTGGTGTCTCCGCCACTTGAGTAACAGTGTCCCAGGATGCTTCAGGCAGCCTTCTGCGTGAACTCTGCACGTTAAAAAGCCAACAGGCTGCTTTGCCATCTCTGCGACATTCTTGAAGGCTGAAGGGGGCAGAGAAGAGCTGGGCGTGGTAACACCTTTCTCTCTACGCGCGTCCACCATGATCCTAATCGGTGCTGTTTATAGAGTTCCCGTCATGTGAAATGCTGTGCTAGGCGCTTGCACACATTAACTTCTAGTGATCCCAACAGCCCTTCAAGTTAAGAGTTCAAACTGTTCTCTACATGTACAAGTTTGACAAATTTGAGAGTTACAAACGATAATCCGTCAAGAGCACTCAATTCATAACTGACATACTGTTCAGGCCAGATAGATCTGCCTCTCTGGCCTAACCCTAACCCTGGTTGTCTGTCTGATGAGCTAAGTCTCATCACCGCCATCACAGACTCCAAGTGCTCATGCCCCGTGCAACGACCGAGTCAGCGGTGGCTGGCTCAGGGTAACTGACTTTCTGTTGCCCCCTTTAGAGAGATACTGTTAATTAATTATACACAGCACAACATCCCAGGGTTCTTGCCACCTCTATGCCTTGTCCATAATTAGAGATGCAGAAATTTACTTCTACCTAGAGGCTTAGTATGAAAACAGTGCCCCTGGACTCCTTTCAGGGGTCATTACCAAGTAATTGGGGAGGAAATACAGTTGGTTGAGTAGATAAAAGGCTGTCCCTGACACAGCCACCCACTGACACTTGAGTGACCCAGTTATCAACCCAGGAACTGGTCTCACGGAAAAGGGGGTGCAACAGGGCAGAGTAACAACCTGCGGTGCATCCCCTGACGCCTGACACATAAGCGAACAGTCCCAGCAGTGAGGCCGCAGCACCAGGACCACGGAGCAGGCGCCCTGCTGAGCCCTGGCAGGCACAGAACGCTTCCTCGGGCAGCAGGCGCAGCCCATGCACCGACCACTGCATCAACCTTTCAGCCAACTTAAAATTGTCCTAAAGCTTCTGAAACTCGAAAACGTAATCTACATCAACACTTTCTCATCTGAAAATGTTTGGGTTTCCCCATTTTTAAAAACGGCGGCGGCAAGGCTGGGTTCCTGCTCGTTCAGCGTGAGCCCGCTCCCGTGCTGGGGACCTGCACTGCCCAGAGCCCCTTCCTCCTTGCTATGCCCCCGGGGGAGAGGAACTCGGAAAGTTAGACCGATGCCGATGCAACGTGGAAAACCGCTACCTATTCGCCAGCCTACATTCGCTCTTCCACACGACCTTATTCAATGAGTATTAGTTTTTTTGTAGAGAAACATTTTAAACATTTGAATGAAGTAAATTCTTCCTGTTTGAAAGGAGATCATGTATTAGAAGCACACTGAAAATCAATTTCTTTTTTTTTAAGATTTTATTTATTTATCTTTAGAGGGGAAGGGAAAGAGAGAGGGAAAGAAATATCAATGTATGGTTGCCTCTTGTGGGTCCCCTGTTGGGAACTGGCCTGCAACCCAGGCATGTGCCCTGACTGAGAATCGAACCACGATCCCTTAGTTCACAGGCCCGCGCTCAATCCACTGGGCTACACCATCCAGGGCTCAATTTCTCTTTCTGATACCCATTCATTACCCGTAACAACATCTTGGTGCTTTTTCCCCCCAGCTCCATTCAGACATGGACAGGGGGGACGGATCCATCAAATACATCCTCTCAGGAGAAGGCGCAGGCATCGTGTTTACCATCGATGACACCACAGGGGACATCCACGCCATCCAGAGGCTCGACCGAGAGGAGAGGGCCCAGTACACCCTAAGGGCGCAAGCCCTGGACAGGCGGACAGGCAGGCCAATGGAACCAGAGTCAGAGTTCATCATCAAAATCCAAGACATCAACGACAATGAGCCCAAGTTCCTGGACGGACCTTATGTTGCCACCGTGCCAGAAATGTCACCAGTGGGTAAGGTGGAGATTCACTGACTCTCCTAAAGAACAATTCCTCTATAGAAGGTCCTCTTCTTTAAACACAGGAGAGAATGTGCAAAACAGCTCACAAATTATAAAACTGAACCAATATTGACAACCAAGTCCTTAGGCAGAAAACCACTTAAACACTGAAATCAGCCATAGGAAAAAAATGAGTCATTAGCCTAATGTTGTTATTCAGTTCTAGTTCTTAAAAAATAAAAAAATAGATAAATGGATGGATGGATGCATGGATAGACAGATAATGTATGATTCATAAGGAAGAAGCATTTTGGTATAATCGAAAGAGCAATGAAGAGGCAAAAAACTGTGCTGTCCTTACTTGTTCAGAATCTAAAGCACAGTCCGCGTCCCCACCGTCTAAGTGGTAGAAGACAGGAGCTGTGGAAGCTTGCCCTAGACAGGGGCCCTTCCAAGAAGCAAACATAACGTGAGCCAATGCTTTAAGACTGCCCACTCAGAATCACACTAGCCTTGAGCAATTCAACTTGAACAGGTTCCCACCATCTGTCTTCCTCAGGGACCTCAGTCATCCAGGTGACAGCCACAGACGCGGACGACCCGACCTACGGCAACAGCGCCCGGGTGGTGTACAGCATTCTCCAGGGCCAGCCGTACTTCTCTGTGGACTCCAAGTCAGGTACGGGACGCGGCGGTCGAGGGGGCGCTCACTTTATTCCCTGAAAAGTTGCAGCCGCTGCTGTCACAGACCCAACTCTCCTTTTCAAGGACCCCCGGGGAGTGTATTCACCGGAGAACACTGTGACGAGCTCTGGGACTGAGAGAGCAAACCAGCACCGCCCTGGTGGGCGAGAGCGGTGCAGTGCTGTGTGCAGACAGGGCGCGGCTGGGGAGGCCAGATGGCCTGCCTCTGCAGAAGCGCCTCCTCATCAGCCTTCCCAAACTGCTGTGGTTGCACTCATTCCCGGTATTAAGGTCTTTTGTGACTCCAAGACGACGTGAGAGGACTGACATGTTACCCTGGCTCAACAGAGAACCAGAATCACTGATTCTGAAACTAGAAAGAGCCCGAGGGCAAGCATCCAGTTCAACGCCATTCACCTGATACCGTATTTTGCCATGTGCAATGCAGTTTTTTGCCCAAACCTTTGTAGGAAAAATAAGGATGCACATTATACGTGGGTATGATTACGAACCATGGGTATAATAATGGTTACAATAATCGCAGGTATGATGCCCACAAAATTGTGAGTGTGCATTACACAGGGCAGCGTATTATACACAGCAAAATACAGTGGATAAAGAAATCGGGAATTGAGACCTCAAAAAAACGGCTTCTAGTGGCACACAGGTCCCTGACACATGGTCTGATGTTCTTTCCACGAAACCACCCTGTACAAGCAGAGAAAAAGGGCAGAATGTGCGGAGGCCGGTCCAGACAGGCTGGCATGAGGGAAACGAGCACAGACCAGGGCATGCGGCTCCTCCCCCAGAGGAGGAGCTGGGTGGGAAGCTCTAACAGGGAGGCAGCCCCCCCAGAGGAGGAGCTGGGTGGGAAGCTCTAACAGGGAGGCAGCCCCCCCACCCCAGGAGGAGCTGGGTGGGAAGCTCTAACAGGGAGGCGGGCCCCCCCAGAGGAGGAGCTGGGTGGGAAGCTCTAACAGGGAGGCAGCTCCCCCAGAGGAGGAGCTGGGTGGGAAGTTCTAACAGGGAGGCAGCACCCCCCCCCAGGAGGAGCTGGGTGGGAAGCTCTAACAGGGAGCAAGCTCCCCCAGAGGAGGAGCTGGGTGGGAAGCTCTAACAGGGAGGACAGGACACAGAAGTGGATGGTACAGGGCCATGTGGCAGAAAAGTCCAAATCGACGGAGGCTTGGCTTGGTTTGGTTTTCCATTTGACCTGAGAGCTCTAATTACGGAATCCGTTTTACCTGTGCAGAGTTCCTTTCCATACTTTTGAGTGGACAGAGTAATGACTATATCATTATTATTTTGCACTTGTGCTGGCTTTCCCCCTTTACAATACTTTCATGCACCTTAACATACTTGAGCCTCCAAATTTTGTAAATTTTTGAAATATATGGAAGTGCTATTATTCCCATTTTATATTCAGGAGAATTAAGGATCTAAGAGTAGGTAACAAGGAGTTTGGATAAAGAAACTTACGGCCACAAAGGCAGGGCCTATGGTGCACACTCAGAGTCATCCACTAATTTGAAACAGAAAAAATTCATTTCTCCTAGCAACCTGATAGAATCTTCCCCAGAAGTCCTGAGAGAGGCCCAGAATTCAGAAAATTATGTCCTAAGAACAAAAAGTGAAGGAGTATATATCAGAAGAAAATAAAAAAGTTGCACTTAGGGACGTCTATGAAACAGTAACCTCAACAATTCTAAAAACAGGGGAGGGTCTGAGAGTGCCCACAGGGGAGGAAAGCATGGACAGAAAGAGTGTGAAGTGTCCTTGATATCCTAAGAGGAACCTGACACTATTTTGACAGCTCCCAGGGGGGTATCTTTAGTGCTGAGGTCAAAAATACATGAAAAGATGGTGACTGCTGTGCCCCCAGGGCATTTAAACAAGGCAAGCCCGCAGAGTTCACTTTAGAAGGCTGTCACTAGAACGCGGCGTCATGATTAGTCTGCGATGCCCAGTGCCTTCCCTTGGCATGCACAGGTCTGCTCAGCCCAGGGTCATGTCACAAACGTGCAGGAAGCACGACTTTCATCTTTGCCTGGAGTGCACAGCAGTCAACTTTTCTACACGGAAGGGTTAAAAATTAGACCGTTACCACGCATCCTTGGCAGGATGAAAACGCATTTCACTGGGTTTGGGTTTAGACCCCGCTTAGTGAAACCGAATCAGTACGTCACGATGCTGCTGCATAGTGTCTGGGGGAGGTTCGTCCCTTGTGCGTGTTCAACATAACTCACAGAGCAACTCTCATGTTCTGGCTCGTGGAATTCAATGAAGCATCAAGGTTAGCAGAACATGACAAAACAGAATGAGTATCTAACAAAAGGAAAATCAAATCAGAATTCCAATCCTGCTTACAGGCAGTAGGAAGGAAGGAAAATGCACATTGGCAGTGCCTTGGCTACAGAAGAGTCATTCCCACTACAAGAGCTTTAGGGGCCGGAGAACTGCTCTAAAATCACAGATCTGCAGACACACCAAGTCTGCTTTCTCGGCCTTAAGCCCCAGTTTGCCGGAGTGAGATGCAGCACCCCTAGTCGGTTAGAGAACTGTTGCTGCCACCTGCTGTTCTCTCCCAGTAATGCAGCCAGAGGAAATGAGCCTGCTGTGCTCTTCCCGCCAGAACTGCATTTTACTCACCATCCATGTAAGCACAGCCTCTTTTGAAGCTGAGATTCTGACCTCAAGTTTAATAAAATACAGGTGACTTGCATCTACACTCTAGATATTAACAAAACACAAGAGAGAAACCTGGAACCCAACCTTAAACACTGGACTTGTGGTTTGCTTTTAAGAACAAAGTCGTTCCTCTCCTGCAGGTGTGATCAGGACGGCGCTCATGAACATGGACCGAGAGGCGAAGGAATACTACGAAGTGATTATCCAGGCCAAGGACATGGGAGGGCAGCTTGGCGGGTTATCTGGGACCACGACGGTCAACATCACGCTTTCGGATGTCAATGATAACCCACCCCGCTTTCCCCAGAGTGAGTATCTAACCAGGGAAGAGTTCCGCTCTCAGGCCAGAGGGTACACATATTACAGAGATGAAACAGAGGACCTGGGTCCCTCATCACAACAGGGCGTGACACAGCCCATGTTGAGAAAGCAAGCAGGGAAACTAAACCAAAGCGGCGACCCACTTCACCATCTCACCTCATCAGTTCACAAGCAGGTGAATTCACAATCCACCTGCTTCGTAAGGGCACTGGGCAGGAGGAGCAAAAGATGCTGAAACCTCAGCCCTGCCCCTGAGAAGCTTGGGGAGTGCATATTCTGCGCTCACCAAAAATTAACCAAAAAGCAGAATCGGCTGCCCTACTTGGCTAGAGCAGAATGAAGCCTTCACAATAAACTACGAAGCCTTCACAATAAACTACGATGACTGCTAGAGAATAAAGGAATTAAACAGGGAGAAAGGAGAACAGTCCAGAGGGGGAAGCAACTCATTCATTCCAAAGTTCTTTGTTTCAGGCACCATTCTAGGTATGAGATAGAGAACAGGACACAAAGCAAATGAAATCTCTGCCCCAACAGGGCTCACCTGAATATAAGAAAAAAGGTATCTATAAAGACCTGGAAATGAAGTTGCCAGCGTAATTTTATGTTTAATGAAATGAAGAGCTGTCTTTAGTTTCAGTGTGTTACTGTAACTAATAGAAGTCCTGAAAAGTTTTCAGGCCAGGTGCACAGAGGAGAGCCGAATCAGAGAACCAGGCGTGGGCTGGGCTGGCAGGGCTGGGCTGGGCATGGGAGGCTTTGAGAACAGTCCAACCTCGAACTGACAAGGCCTCAAGGCAATGGCAGGGAGAGTGGACTGAGACAAAGAGACAACGTGGATTTCCACCTCGTGGTTTCCTGGCTAAGGGAACCAGGCAGAGGGTGGAGTCTGAGGGGACAACGACTGGGGACAGGGAGCAGAGCTGTGCCAGCTATGGAAACACAGGACACAGCGTGCTGGAACTAGAAAGGGAACGAGAAAGACAACTTCAGACCTGAACATGAACTGGCAGCAGGACAACCAGACCAAATGTCCTCAGGAAGAGTGGAGATGCACAGCCACGACTGTGGAATGGAGCCTGGGAGTGGAGGTGAGAGGCAGGTGCCTACAGGCAGCAGCTGGAGCAGCGAGCACAGTAGACACAACCCCAGGTGAGAAGACTTAACCGAGGAAATAGGGTTAAAAACAACTAAACTAGAAATAGCATCAAGCGTGGCTGTCAGCTGAAGAGCTGCATTTTGAGTCAGCCAGACCAAGTGTACCACCTTTTTTCAATGTAAATACAGCAAGAGAGCCCGAACACTTAGGCGCAACTGGTATACCCAAAGTCCTCGTGAGACTCCATGAAACACAAAGGCAGGGTACTGGGTAAGGAATTGTATGTATATCTGTTTAGACACAGAACACACAGTCCCCCCTGGTGAGGAGAAAATTGTAGGCAGATACCTGTTTGTTTTTCCCAGAAAGTCTGCAACAGCACAGCGTAATCCATCAACAACTTCGGAATTGAATGGAAAGGGATCATAAAACCCAAATACCTGCCAGCACGGTGCAGACACAGGCAGTTTCCTGGCCCACACCGCCCAAGACCAGCACCATTTCCTCTCTGGGGGGGGGGGGGGGGGTCGCTGCGAGCTGGCTGGCTGCTATCAGCCTCCTCAAAGTTTTGTGAAACCAGGGCCTCAACCCAGGCCTCCCTGTAGCCTGAAGCATGTTAGGATAAAAGAGACCAAGTACATACTGAAAATGTGATTGTGCGATTTTGTCAGTCACATTTGACTGACAGAATAATGAAGAATGTGAAAAGTTGAGCCCCAGAGAAGGTAAATTAGTAAAGATAAAACTCCATGGAGGTGAAAATAAACTAAACTGCACTGTGAATTCAGGGTATCAGGTCGAAAGGGGGAACATTACAAGCGCTGAGAACTGCGGGGTATTCTACGCTAAAATGAGAGGACAAGAAGCATCAGAGGCCTGCCCAGGTGCAGGGACACAGTGGTGGCCACGCAGAGCCAGTGGGGCTGCCTCTCCGCAGCCATTCCTTCTTTACAGAGCGCTGGGCACCAATAAATTTGGCCAGCTGGTCACAGAAATGGGTAGTCAGCACGCCGGCCAGGCCACGAAGGGAGACACGGGCATTTGAAATGGGAACAGAGTACGTACGCACTTCATGAACACAGCGTTTGCGTTCCCACCTTTCCCAGAAGGAACCACCACTCGGGGGAACAGTTCATTAGGAAGGAATCAGATTGAAAAGCGAGGTACTTCCTGCCACTCTGAAGGCAGAGTTACTGAGATAAGAGGTCTTTTTACTTCCGTCCTGTGCTACCCTTAGAATTACAGCCAAGCCGCTTTGGCCCCTCCTTACTGAACACACAGTATAGTCTATGACCTGACGCCATTTGCTCAGCCTCTTTAGATGTCAGTTTTCATCAGCAAAACTCAACTTTTAATTGTTGAACCAGGAGAAGGATGTTTTGCACAGCCTTGTGTGGTGTGACAGTGATGAGGCATCTTGTACAGTGACAGATGACAAGGCTGTGTGTTCTGACCTCTTTCCACAGAGCATTACCAGATGAGTGTGCTGGAATCAGCTCCCATCAGCTCCACTGTGGGGAGAGTGTTTGCCAAAGACCTGGACGAAGGAATCAATGCAGAGATGAAGTACACAATTGTGGATGGAGACGGTGCCGATGCCTTTGACATTAACACAGACCCCAACTTCCAAGTCGGCATCATAACCGTGAAGAAGGTAATCCAAACCATTTTAATGGAGTCTCTGGACGCACATGAGATGTAAGGGCTGCTGCCCTGCTGATGTGTATTTCTTCAACCCCCCGAGAAGCGCGCTTTTCTACTAGTCAGAAAAAACTCCTTTTGCTTTACACGTAAACACTGGCTGCGTCGTTTTACACAGACGGTACCAGGTCATAATAAAAATAAATGACAAATGTCACTTCTCCCAGCCCACTACTCAGCCACTTAAAAAACGGTTATAGCTTAATTCTCCCTGATGTTAATGACAATCAATATTTGCACTTGAATAACTCACTTTTTACCACAGTGCAGCATAAATAACAATAAAGCAAGCTATAACAGTATTTATGAATCAATAAATAACATGTAGGGATTTTTTAATTACTACTTAAAGATCCACAGATGCTAATTAACCTGAAAAAAGCTTTATAAAGTATAGCTGCTAAGTGAAATTATCACTTGAAACTCCTTTGCTACGTGTTAAATTACCAAATTTTCTGAATATAAACTCTCATTTTTTGTGTGTAGTATATGGATAGGTATCTTCAGGTGGAAACATTTTTTTTACATTTAAAGACCCACGATTAAATACTTATTCAGAAATATTTTGAATGTTGAGTGTCTACCTATGTGCCAAGCAAGTACCACTCTAGGCATTTAACATAAAGAGGAAATAAATTAGCCAAAAAACCCCGCCCTCATGGAGCTTACGTTCCGTAAGAGGAAGGAGACAGTCAAAATAGCAAGTAAGCCAATGATATAATAAATGAGAAAGTGAGAAATGCCATTGGAAAGGGGGGAAAACAGAACGAACGTGGTATCAGAGGAGCCAAAACAACTTTATATTTAAAGTGTGTGGTTGGGATTGGCCCCCCAGAGAAATGACACTTTACAAAGACGTGTGAGGGGACAGAGTCACAGCGTCAAGTTGGGGAAGTTGACAGACACAGCCCTTGGAGGTTCCGTCTAAATGACTTTGGGTGAAAACTGTCCCAGCAGCCCTGGAGGTGAGGAAGTGGGCGTGGAGATATTGAAGAAAGGAGACAACCAGCGCAAAGGTCCTGAGGTAGAATTCTGCCTGGTAGGTCCCAAGAACAAGGGAGCTGATAAGACAGAGTGGAGGGGAAGACTAGTGGGAGGTGGAAATATTCGGAAAGCTCTAAGGGAGCCAGACTGTGAAAGACTTTGCAGACTGAGGGAAGGACTTTGGGTCTTACTCTGACTCCGAGAACAGTGGGGGAAAGCTGGAAGACTTTAACAAACGTGTGACGTGACTGGGCTTTCATTATAAAATAACTACTCTGTAGGTTCTGCTAAGAAAAGACCCCAGGGGGCAAAGATGGAAACAGAGAGACCAGCTGAAAGGCGCTGGCAACAACACACATAGGAGATGATGGTGGACTGGCCTTGGGTGGTGGGGATGGAGGGGGTGGGAGGCGGTCAGAATCTGGGTGTATTCTGGAGGCAGAGCCAACAGGACTTCTTAGCAGACTGGACGCAGATACAAAAGAAAGAGAGAGGACTCGATACAGCAACAAGAAGATAAAGCTGCCTCATTAACTGAGATGGGAAGTCTGCAGGCAGAGAAGAAAGAAGGGGGGGGTGGCAAATACTGGGATTAAGTTCTGGACATGCTTGTTACATCTGCAATGCCAACGACAGAGCCAAGCGGAGACGGGTAGTAGCTGTTGGTTACAGGAGTCTGGAGTCTGGAGTCTGGAGAAGAGTGCTGGGCTGGCAATACAAACTTGAGGGTCATAAGCATACAGGTGATACCTGAAGAAAATAAAAGAGGGCGATATTCCAAGGGAGTGAGCCCAGTCAGAGAAGACAGTGAAATGGGCCCCGCAGCACCCCAACGTGAGGAGGTCGGGAGAAGGGCAAGGAGACGGAGGAGAGGCCAGGGAGGAAGGAGGAAAATCAGCGGAGTGTCCTGTCCCAGCAGGCGTGAAGAAACTCCGTCCAAGAGAAGGCAGTGACTGCCTGGGACAAAGAACACTAAAAACTAACCATGGCATCAGCAACATGGAGGACCCGGACAAAAGCCACACAGTCACAACTTAGAATGTGGCAAAAGTTAGTGTTCAATCACTTTATTTTACATTATTCCATACAGTTGCATTAACGCTAGTTTAGAAGGAAGAGTTCAAGGTTGCCCTCTCTTATTTAAAGTATGCCGGCATTCTGTCAACCAGAAATCTTTACAACCAGCATGCAATGACCTCAAAACAGTGCAAAATGCCAAGATTAACTTCGGAACCACCAAACAAATCTGGATGTAATTTAAATAGTGCTGTTTCTTATTTCATTCTCATTCTTTGAGAATTAATAATATGTGGTAAACTAGAAAAGGTGACTAGAAATAATATCAATCTAGTGTGTAATATAGGATTATGAACATTCCCCTATTATGTAGTGCAGCTCAAGTTAACAATTAATAATGCATTGCTTATCACGACTGGTAACTGTAAACAAGGTAAATGCTCAAAATTCTGAATTGTGGATTGTTTAATGTAAAAATTCTCTTAAAAAAATTAAGCAATCAGGGGACTTCCGCCAAGATGGAGGCGTAGGTGGAAGCACTTCGCCTTCTCACACAACCAAGTTTAAAAACAACAAAGTTTTAGCAACAAAAACTCAGGCAAACCACAGAAAATTGAACTACACGTAAGTCTGACAACAACGAACCCTTCAGCCAAACAGGTAAGAGGGGCAGAGCCAGCAGCAGAACAGGGTTGGGCAGGAAAGATCCACAGGACCTACTTGGGCGCGAGACCCAGGTGCACCAGCAACTGTGGGTGGATCCCAGGTGTGGAGAAGTGGGCGGACCCACTGAGGGCTGACCATGGTCACACATTCGAGAGTAGATAAACCAGTGAAGGAGCTAGCGGTGGTGAGACGGACTGCACAGGCCCCAGCAGCAGAAAGCGGCAGAGAGAACCGCCATTGTCCCTCTCTGACCCCGCCCCCACATACAGCATCACAAACCAGTGACCTGGGTGGCCCCGCGCTGGTGAACAACTAAGGCCCTGCTCCTCATATGTAACAGGCACGAACAGATGAAAACATGGCTCAAGAACAACTCAGAGCCCCAGAGCCAATAAATCTAAGTGAACAAGAAATTGCCAACCTATCAGAGGCATAGTTCAAAACACTGGTGATCAGGATGCTCACAGAACTGGTTGATTTTAGCCACAAATCAGAGGAACATATGAAGGCTACACTAATTGAAATAAAGGGAAATACACAGGAAACCAATAGTAATGGAAAGGAAACTGGGACTCAAATCAAAGGAGTGGACCAGAAGGAGGAAAAAAATGACCAAACAGAAAAGAATGAAGAAACAAGAATTCAAAAAATGAGAAGAGGCTTAGGAACCACCAGGACATCTTTAAACGTTCCAACATCCAAATTATAGGGGTACCAGAAGGGGGAAAGGAACAGCCAGTGGAAAACTTATTTGAACAAATAATAAAAGATAATTTCCCCATACTGGTAAAGGAAATAGACTTCCAGGAAATCCAGGAAGCTCAGAGAGTCCCAAAGAAGTTGGACCCAAGAAGGAACACACCAAGGCACATCATCATTACATTAGCCAAGATTAAAATGAAGGAGAGAATCCTAGAAGCAGCAAGAGATAAGGGGACAGTCACCTACAAAGGAGTTGCCATCAGACTGTCAGCGGATTTCTCAAAAGAGACCTTACAGCAAGAAGGGACTGGAAAGAAGGATTCCAAGTCATGAAATCCAAAGACCTACATCCAAGATTGATCTATCCAGCAAAGTTTTCATTTAGAATGGAAGGGCAGATAAAGTGCTTCTCAGGTAAGATCAAATTCAAGGAGTTCATCATCACCAAGCCCTTATTATATGAAATGTTAAAGGGACTTACCTAAGAAAAAGAAGATAAAAAAGATGAACAGTGAAAGGATAGCAAACTCACAGTTATTAAGAACCATACCTAAAACAAAAGCAAACTAAGAGGACAGCTAAATCAGGAGCAGAACCATAGAAATAAAGATCACACGGAGGGTTAGCAACAGAGAAGTGGCAGAAGGGGGGAGAAGGTACAGAAAATAAGTAGCACAGACGGTAGGTAGAAAATAGATAGGGGGAGGGCAAGAATAGTAGGGGAAATATAGAATCTAAAGAACTTGAGACACGTGGTCATAAACTAAAGGGGGGGGAATGGTGGAGGAGGGGGTGTGCAGGGTGGAGGGGAATGAAGGGGGGAAATAGAACAACTGTAATGGCATAATTATAAAATATATTTTTTAAGAATTAAGCAATCAGAAAAAAGCATTTTGGAATTCTCCATATTTCAAATTTTATATCTCAAAATAATATACGAAAATTCTAAATAATAATGTAATAGTATTAATTTATGTCAAATTATTAGAATGTAGCATATAACTTATTACAAGACATTCATCTTAACATGTTAAGTGTTGCAATTTTGTATCTAAAAGGAACCTCAAAATGTCCTTTCTCCAGCTCCCTAACCTGGAGAAGAGAGGAAAACCCGTCAGACAGAACCCTGTCCTTCACTGTCATCACTAAAACTGTGTCTGTGTTTCATCACAACAGGCATCAGTTCTTGCCAAGGTCATCTGTATTTCTCTTCTGAATTTCCAAGGTGACAGGAAACAGGATTAAGAGCGAGGTCAGTGCCCTGGATGGGCACCTCAAAGGTGACAAGTACTTAAAGGGCTGCTGACAGCCCGGACTGAACGTCCGGACCCACCCCCGTCTTCCGCCTCTGTCGTTACTAGTGCTGTGTAAAATGCAGACAGAAGGTCTGCTTCTGATGTATTTCCCTAAGGTTTATTCTCCATCCGAAAGGCACATATTTTTCAAAAGGAAAAATTAAGTTGAACTGACAGAATGGGGTTTTCATAAAACCACATTTTACTAACAGGTATCCTGGGTCATTCTGGTTTTTAAGTAATCAATCAATCGATTTTCAGTCTCTCAAATGTTTGCAAGGTAACTTGAAACACATATTTTTCAACATCCTTTATTCTGTGAGCACGCTGCTACACCACTGTCCGGCTTGCCTTCCACCTTCCAGCCCGCGACAGACAGCAGTTTTGAGTCCGTCATCCTCTCAGGCAGACCACAAAGAGCAACACTCCCGTCTCCATCAAACCTAAGATGCCCATGAAATGTAAATGCCACCATTGTTTTATATACCGCTTAAAAATATACTTGCAATTTAAATGATGCAATGTGTTCTTATTCCTTAGCTTACAGTCTCTGAAAAAACTCACAGACACAGACATACTTGCTTCGCTAACTTCAGAATTACTCCCTGCTGTGTTTGCACGCCATTCCTCCTTCACAACTCTTGTTTCAAAACTGAATCATAATACAACCTTTTGGAAGACGTTTTAGAAGGCAGTGAAGTTCGACACACGTGACACCAACGGTGCACAGAACTCAGCTGAAGCACACACAACGAGAACCGCTCTGAGCTGGTCTGTCTTGCACAGAGACAACCGCGTTCTGTCTCTCGCTGCACTTAAAGGTGCCGCAACCGGAGAAGCAACCCTATTTCCAAAATGTCAAAACGTGAAAAAACGTACACCGGAGAGTCACTGAACTATGGTGACATAAAATCTACATGTTAGCACTCAGCCGGTGCTTGTTAAGACTCACACTGAAAAAGTTTTTCACACCACTCAAGTGACCACCTTTCCTGCTGTGATTTGAGTTTTAGGCCTTTGCTGGACCCTGGGGAGTAAAAATGTGACTCAGTCGTAGCCTGTGCCCTTCTGGGACCACAGAGGGAGAACCACTGGCAACATGAACTAAGAAGAGCCCCTGTGACCCCGTGAGGCAGTGCTACGGGAACAGGGGGAGTGAGTCCGCTCAGGGCGCCTGCATTACTATTTTGAGCCGTAATTTTCATGACTCAGTTTTCAAGCATACAATGCCATTTCATTTTTCGTGTGCTCCAACTCTAAGAAGTTTCTTGAATTTGAAACTTTGTTTCTCAGACATTAGTACTCTATAATTTACTATTATGAGTATAAAATAAACAATTATTCAATGTTAGAAAACAAGTACAAAAAACTTTTTGAGAGAGAAAAGTCAAGCATATTTTTTTGTAGACAATTTAAAGCTTAGGGTATTTAGGACAATGCTTTCCCTGAATTTTAAATAATAAAATTATTTAACTGAGGGAAACAGTAATCTTAAATAATGTAATGATCACTAGGTAACTTATTTTAAAAGCAATTCTAATATTAATTAAAAATTCACTCTAGTATCTTCAACAGATAGTGCTAAAACAATTGTATATCCATACTTTAAAAAAGAAAAAAGAATTTCAATTTATACCTCACGAAAACAAACTCAAAATGGGTTGTAAACCTAAATGTGAAAAACTAAAACTATAAATTTCTAGAAGGAAACACAGGAGAAAATCTTTTTGACCCTGACTAGGCAACGATTCTTAGACATGACACCAAAATCCTCATCTACGAAAGAAAAACTGATTAGTAAGATTTCATCAAAATTAAGAGTTTCTGCTCTTGCCCTGGCTGGTGGAGCTCAGTGGATTGAGCACGGGCCTGTGAAGCAAAGGGTTGCTGGTTCGATTCCCAGTGAGGAAACTTGCCTGGGTTGTGGGCCAGGTCTCCAGTAGGGGGTGCATAAAAGGCAAACACACATTGTTCTTTCTCCCCCCTCTTTCTCCCTCCCTACGTCTCTAAAAATAAATAAAATCTTTTTAAACAATTTAATGTTCAACATCATGAGGCATTAGGGGAATGCAAATCCAAACCACAAGGCAGAACCTCACACGCACTGAGACACTAAAACCAAAAATGCTGATAAAACTCAACCGTGATACGAACGTGAAGTAACAGGATCTCTCACGTATTCCTGTGGGAATACAAAACAGTGCAGCCACGCTGAAAACTCGTTTGCAAGTTTCTTATAAAAAGAAGTTGAAAATATACTTAACCATACAATCCTGTAATCCCACACATAGGAATTTACCCAAATGAAATGAAAACCTATGTTCACGCAGAAACCTGTATGTAAATGTTCCCAATGTTTTTATTCAAAACCACTAGAAACTACTCAAATGGATAAATGTATCCATACAACATAGCACAACTTGGCAATAAAAAGGAACAAACAACTCATTTACACACCATGGACCAATCCCAAATGTCTGGTGCTAAGTCAAAGAAACCAGTAGATACGGAGTGATTCCATTTACACGACAGTCTCGCAATGGGAGCAGAGCGCAGACCAGAACGGAACAGTGGCTGCCGGTGGGCAAGGCTCAGCACACAGCAGCACGGGGCAGAGGGGAACGGGGCAGTGGGACTGCTCTCCATCCGGGCATCACGATGGAAGCATGACTGTGTGCATCCGTCAAAACCCGCAGGACTTTATAGAAGATAAATCTTGATGTGTGTAAATTACACCCTAATTTAAAACAAATGCAACATTCACACCAAGTTAGATAATGACTTAACAGAAAAACTTTACCCAGCTCAAACCTAACATAAACAACAGTGCCCACCTTGGTTTACCTAGATTTAAAGAAAGAATATTAAGAGAACATAATGTGATTTATTAGGAAGATAAATGTCCGGGTTTACAGAACAAGTATAAATGAAACAAATGGATGCAACGATTCCTTCAAACATCACAATCTCAGGGGCAGACTCCCTGTTAATGACAACCTCGCCTTCTGACTGGGCCTAGGAAGGAAGTCAGGCAGCCTGGTCCCCCCGGGAACGGTGCACTCTATGAGACCAGGTACATGATGACTACATTCAGTGCCAAGTGCACACAGAACAAGCGGTCACCCAGCAATGACGACAACAGCAAAATTCTGTTAGAATCTGAAAACAACAAATTGAAAGTAACTACTACTGTTTGTTTCTCAAAAACAAAGCAGATGCTTAAATGGACAATGCCTTTTTCTAACACAAAATGTGCTTAATTCAGCATATTTTGTGAGAAAAAGCAGGAATAAACATTTAGCTACAAAAAATTAAGTCATTTGTGACTTCTGCGCTTTAGTAACTTCTTTGCTATTCTCTGTTAATTATTTTATGGGCTGACTTCCTATGATATTTTCGTTGATGATGTTTTAAATTGTTGCTTGAAGCTTTAAAGATTTTTGTCAGTAAAAACAAAAGAAGGAAACAAATGATTATTAAGAGATAGCATGCAAGTTCACACTCCGCCCTGGAATGCTATATATTTTTAAGATTTTAATTAATTTATTTATTTTTAAGGGGGAAGTGAGGGAGAAAGGAAGAAAAACATCAGTGTGTGGCTGCCTCTTGTGTATCCCCTACTAGGGACCTGGCCGGCAACCCCAGCATGTGCCCTGACTGGGAATCAAACCAGCAACCCTTTGGTTCACAGGCTGGCACTCAATCCACCGAGCCATACCAGCCAGGTCATGCAGGGCTGTATTTATTTTTACATAAAACATTCTGAAGATAGGGCTAGATCAAAACCAAAAATTCAGGTTTTTGACATGGAATTTTATTTTGTGGGTGAGCCCTAAATGAAATATTTGAAAGTCCAGACCAGAGCTTCTGCCCTGACACTGTGTAACCATGTTAGCTCAGTCAGCCTTTGAGCCCTGAGTCTGTTTATGAAACTACACAATGAGGCATTGATTCCGTTTCTGAACGATTTTTTAAAAGAGTGTCTATGATATAAGCTAAATATACAAATCCTGATCTGACACAGTACCCTGAGAACTCCTATGAAGTAGCCTATGATGGTTTCTTAGAAAAAATCACTACTGCCTTTGTACTTCAGAATTCTCTTTTAAGGAAGAAAGCAAACAGCCTGGGCCTAAGTTGTATGGGTTTTCTGAAACAGAACTCAGACTCCCTCTTAACTGTCATGACATCTTTTCAAACGAGCAGACATCCCCAGAGACAAGGTGAGCACGCCAATTAAAGAGTGGGCATGTTCCAGTCAGCCTTCCCTAGAGCACAGTGGCTTTCTTAACCAGCAAACTGGCTTCCCCACGATCTCTGAGCCTTCACTACCACCTCCCTCACCTTCTTTACCCAAGCTGTTGAAACAGACATTAAGACCAAGAACTATGGAACCAAAAAAAATGTCCCTTATTTCCTCCCTTACCTCTTTTCCACCATCTTAATGAATTGAGGAATCTACCCACCAGCCATCGGTGTCGGTCATCCTTTGGAACTTGACTGTATGTTGCTGGCTAATCAATTTCCCTGCCATTATTTTTCAGCCACTGAGTTTTGAAAGCAAGAAAAGCTACACCTTAAAGGTGGAGGGAGCCAATCCTCACCTAGAGATGCGTTTTCTGAGCCTGGGCCCCTTTCAGGACACAACCACAGTGCACATCAGTGTGGAAGATGTGGATGAGCCCCCCGTATTTGAACCTGGCTTTTATTTTGTGGAGGTACCTGAAGATGTGGCAATTGGAACCACCATACAGATCATTTCTGCCAAGGACCCAGATGTGACCAACAACTCGATCAGGTTTTTCCCACAGATTTCACCTTTCCCTTATATCATGGGATCTTCCCTTCCCTTGCATCAAATTTTCTAGCACTTTTCCCCTTTTCTTCTTCCATCTCTGGAGACTGTCCTATTTCTTTAAACGCTGTCTGTCTAAATAACACGGCCTTTTCATGCTATAGATGATGAAGTATCATTACGTCTACACCTCACTGCCAGCTGGCTCGGCAACATGCACACCCGAGTTCTCTATCCCAGCCCTGCTGACATTGGGGATGGATGGCTGGTTCTCTGCTGCGGGGGCTGGCCTGTGCATTGCAGTGTTGAGTAGCATCTCTGGCCTCTACCCACTAAATGCCAGTGGCAACCCCTGAGTTGTAATGACTTAAAATGTCCCCACATATTGCCAAATGTCCCTCCCTGAGGAGGGTGGGATATGCAATCACCTCCAGCTGGAAGAACCAGCTGACAGATTGATGCAGATAAAGCAAGGGCGTCAAACTCACTTTCACCGGGGGCCATATCAGCCTCACGGTTGCCTTCCGAGGGTTGAAATAATTTTAGGGCTGTATAAATATAACTACTCCTTAACAGTCAAGGAGTTAAAATTACATTCGGCCCTTTGAGGGCAATCACAAGGCTGATATGGCCCCCAGTGAACATGAGTTTGACGCCCCTGAATAAAGCACAGACTGAAACACAGATGTCAAAACGTTAGAAATGTTGAATCTTAGTCGTGAATATAAAGGTGACCACTGCACATTCTTTTGATTTTTATGAACCTTTCACTTTTTTACTTTAAAAACGAGGGAAAATAACACATATGATATACACATTGCCACACAGAAAGAACAGACACGGAACCCACCTGTGTTGTCAATGGCCCCCCCGCCATGCGGACCGGTCACACAGGCCTCCCACTGCAACCCCGCACGTCAGTCTGTCCAAAGCGTGGCTGAACTGAACGATTCCAAGCAGGCTGCTCACGGCCACTTCCCGTCAGCTCTGGAACCGAAGTGCAAGCAGCTGGTGGACAGGTTGACACCTCAGCCTTCCGGAGCGACTGCCAAGCCTCTGGAGCGCGACACAAAAGATCAGGACTCCAAGGCTATTTGAGGCCATCTGTCGCGTTAATTGCTGGAAGTCACACAGACGGATCTAGGGCCGTAGTGCAGACAACACACTTTAAACACACCCCAGTTTACTGACTGCCTTTTCTGTCACGGCTCCTCCGCCGGGTGCTACTTCGCACGTAAGGAAAACGTGCTCTTGCGGTTTAACAGAGACGGCTCTCCCCCGAGAATCACTACACTGGGGGAAGTCCGCTTCCTCCAACCAAACATAAACATTTTACATTTTCAGGCATTAAAATGGCTAAAATGATTTTGTTTGAATTCTGGTATTTGATTTTTAAAACTCAGCTAATCTTGTATTATAACAACTTTATAGGAGTAATATTTCTACCTGAAGCTTTTGAAATGTATTAACAAGGTAGGAGGAAGTTAGTGAAACCATATGATATCAAAACAGCCACAAAATAAGTGAAATATTCTATTATAAATTTATATTTTCGCAAGTCAAATATGTAACACACACACATATACACACATATCAATCTATCTTCTGATTGGTTAATCAACTTATTTATAACAAAAATACTGTGGGGAAAACTTTAGAGAATAAAACTTTATGAGGGGAAATGTGTAAAATGAACACAAGCTTGAAAACATCAGACCTCATTTCTGTGAGCGTCGATTAGACCACTCAGTGGACACTTCCACATGTTCCTTCCAGACTGACCCTGGACCCCCATGTGGTGAGCACCAGGAACAGGGTTTTGGTAGGAGTCGCATTACTAAATGACAAGCAGGAGAGACTGGGCGCTGTCAGGAGACACGCGTGTGCACACGTACACCCAGAGCGAATGTGCATTTTTCAGGACTGCAGTTGTTATCTCAAGGCCTATCTAGGAGGGAAAGAGAGACATCTAGACCCCCGACTGGTGCGGAGCCAAATGAGGCATAAAAAATGAAGGGATCCTATCTAGCTAACCGAGTTGCCTCATGTGACGGGCCACTGCAAGCCACCAGTCAGCATGACGGAAGTCCACAATGAAAAGCCCATCTAGTCCAATAGATCTCAGTCAGAAGGAATCCAAGACTGAACAGGCTGGAAGCACAGAGCAGGGTTCACTGGGTTTATTCTGAGGTGGGACTCTACGTTAGGTCCTAAGAAACTGTCAGGAACAAGGCAACAGCCACACTCTGGCGGCGACAGACCAGGGTCCAGGCACCACGGCAAAGCAGAGTCCCACTGGTCAGAAGCCGCGGTGATGCTCCCTCTGCACCTCGGTCACAGAGAGAGGGCAGACTTCACAGTGCCAGACACAGGGCCACTCTTCCAGATGTCCCCTGGGGACACAGAGTGGGCCCTGCGTTCACGCAGAAAATCGGGGGTCCTGGACTCTCGGGGGCGGGGGGGACATAAAGATCAAATTTCCGGATACCATTTAATACCCATTTGGGAATTACTTTCCTGTATTATCTTTCCCCCAAATTATTTATCCTTAGTTTTTCTATCAAAGTTATTTTCTTTTGAAATAATTTGCATATGTCATATGCTGTTTGGCCATCTAATTCATCTGCATTTTTATTACAAATAAATGAGATTTGTATTTCTGACAAGCAATTACATATTAAATTACCCCAAAACCAACATGTTACCTAAAATTTAAATATTATAAACAAAGAGCCATTTAACTTTTTAAAAAGATTATTAAGGCTTTTATAATTTCCTCTCTAGGCAGTTTATGGTGTGTTCAGGCACATAAACTAGTCGTTACTACCAGCAAACCCCCAAACTAGTCTCCAGATTTCGTTTTATATACATGAAAAACACCATGCTTGGTTCTCCTAAAATTCTAGTGCGTACTCAAGGAATTTCTGGCAGGCGGTGCACAGAAGCACTTGGCAACCAAAACGGGCTTCCGCTGCGTGAAAACAGCCTGCCCTCCTGTGCCGTCCTGGAGGGTTTGCGTGGATTCGCGAGCCTGCCCACGATGCCCAGCCTCCAAATCGCATTCCAGAATGCCCTGAGCCAAGCAAATAAGCAGGGAGCCCAGAGAACACTGGCTAACGTTTGCTCAGGGAGTTCTGTATGTGTTTGCGGTGCCCGCTCTGCCTGTAGTAGGTAAGATGATTATGGTTAGAGCAGGAAAACCACCTACACAGTTCACTAGTGGGTCCCAGGTTCCTCATTTTCCATCTGTATCTACACTTCCAATTTGTGCCCCTGCCTCCTGAAATGTGGCCCAGTGTCCCATCCTGAGTCATGAACGCTCTGACTGCCTCCATCCGGGCCCCGTCTGGGAAGTCGGAAAGGACTGCACCTGAAGAGGGAGGCTTCTCTGAGGCAGGGCTTCCCCTCGGAGTGTCACGAGGCAGTGCTGTCAGGGGTCCTCTCCACTCGTTATCTCCGTCACTCCACCCCACGCTCTCTCTAGCATCTGCTCTGGCCTTGTACGTTGGGCTGCAGAACGCTGGCTCTTCAGAGGCTGCTTCTCCCGCGGCACTATGCCTGCGGCTGGGAGAGCTGCCATCAGGGTCATGGCCAAAGGGCCGGCTTTACTCGTGGGTAGGGAACAGAGAGAAAAGACGTCAGAGGCCAACCAGTATTTTTTTTCCTAAGACAAATTCAACTCTTAAAACAACCAGTAAACTTTAAAACTAAATCACTAGTTATACCCAGGAAAAATGCTCTAGTTAATTTTAAATTAACTTTGCAGGCATATGTTTGTTCTTTATTAAAAAGTCAACTGTTTACTATCATGGTATAATCTATCTTCAAAAGGAGATCAGGTTTGTGTCCTTGAACCATCTCGTCCGTTCCATGTGTACTAATGCAGCATGGCCCGGTCGGTAGTCAGGAGCAGGAACTAGGAATCCAACTGCCTGCCCTTGATTCCCAGCTGTGAGACCTTGGACAAGAGACTTACCTTCTCTATGCCGCCGCTTGCTAGCCTGCAAAATGGGGATGATAACAGTACTTACCTCACAGGGTTATTGTGAGGCTTAAATGAGTCAATACAAGTCAGGGGTATAAACCAGTGCCTGACCACACTAGCTTTCCTTAAATTGGATCACGGGCAGAAACAGACATTAATTTGCTGCCTTAAATTTCCCAACCCTTAGAGAGTCGTAAGTGAAACGATTCCAACTTCTCTAGCCCTCAGTGGCTACCTTTCCCTTTAATCTGTAATTCTCTGAACAGCCATCCTGCACCTCTGCAGGAAAAAAAAAATATGTTTAAAACAAAGCATTTTACTAAATAATACATATACATGCATATTACACATACACATATATATGTATTTATATATGTATATATGAGACAAAACTTTTACCATCAACATTACTCTTACTGCACGTGATCATCTGGCATGCAAACCTGCTATTTTATTTCATTTTCTTTCAACAGTGGTCCTAACCCACCTGACTTAACCAACCTGCAGTTTAAACACAACGCACTAAAGGAAGAGCTTGCTCCCATCCAAATGGCAGTTTCCCAGTTCCCCTATAGGTGGCAACTTTAAAAAGAACTTTGAACCCAATACATTAATGTGTCTCTTTTTTTTTTTTTTTTCAAATCTTACTACTGCAAAGTATTTTTGCAAGCGATTTAATTCCTCTAAAGACTTGGTCTCTGCTGATAACTGAGATAATACCTACCTCCTGCAGAAGGTGTAAGAATTTTAAAAGAAGCTATAAAATGCCTGGTGTTCAATAATGGCAGCTATTATCATTACTAGCTGGGGGCTATATAAGGTTCTCCAGCATGGCTCTCAATTATGACTTTATGGAGGGTTTTAAACAGACCTGAAACTCCCTCTATAGTTACTTAATCTCCCAAAACAGGAACCAAACAAAATGATGCAGGTGAGATGACACAGAGGATCAGACCGCCACGTCACACTAGACAGGAACTCTAGCACTGACCCATTACCAAGGTACATGACGGCTCAAAGGATACAGACAACAGCAAAGCAGAAGCCAAGCACTCTCTCCTTGGAAGGGTCTAAAACCACCAGGTGCGAGGGCTTGTAAACATCCTCTTCTCCTGTGTAAGGACGTGTGTTGGCCTACACGGAGCATGCAGGTACATGCTGTGGATATTGCTATCCAGAGCACTGCCTGAACCAAAGGAGCTGTTTTGGTTATGAAACACCTGTTTTTTACACCCTGTTAATTACCTAGCTTACATGACATTTTCCAGCAAGCTGAGCCCCATAAATTCATGAATTCGAGGCTTACTTACAATGAGCAACCTAGACAGACCTGGTGCCTCCCGTTAAAAACATTCCACAGAGCAGGACTCCCCACTGCGTAAATGCATTATCGTGTCTGCCAACAGGTCAGTCACTAGCACGTTACAAAGGGCCTGAGGCAAATCGCTTCCTCTCAACAGCTGATATTAATTAGGGGGACTACAATCACTGAACTTCATGCTTTTCAGTTCCAACTTAGCATTTCAGAACTTATTTCAATAAAGTTCATTTTGAGCAAAGACACGTAGGGGTTGATATATTCAGAGGGGTTGATATCCGAAAGCCTTGGACAGTTTTCAACTTTAAATAGTTGAAAATTATCTTTAAATAGCTTAAAACTGCCCTAAGGTCTAGCACCCTGTTCCATTTTGTTTTATGAATCAGGAAATTAGAGCAGTGATACTTCGTTACTGGTTTTCACAGGGGTGGGCAGAGGGGAGTGGAAATAAAACAGCAATTCCGGTCGCCCGAGCCCCTGTAACTCAGAATCAGCAGTGTCAGGTCTCACTCGACATGCTCTCAGTTTTCTCATGTATGTAACATGCCACAGTATGTTTATTCAGATCGATGTGTTTAATCTGTTTTCAGGTTTTGTTTTTATTTTGTGTTTTTTTACTTTTGTTTTTGCAGATATTCCATCGACAGAAGCAGTGACCCTGGAAGGTTCTTCTATGTCGACATTACAACAGGGGCTCTGATGACTGCAAGACCCCTGGACCGGGAAGAGTTTTCTTGGCATAACCTCACTATCCTTGCTATGGAAATGAGTAAGTAACTCAATAAACCGGTCTCTACCTAGTGACAGATGTAAGCACTGCGGAAAGTGGGAGTTTCCAGAGCTGGCTGGGACAGGAACTGTATTCTCTACAGAAAGAAACAAAAATCATAGTTCATGCAAGTGAGTGAACGTATTTAGTTCAAATAATTATTGAGCAACTGCTGTACATCACTGTCCTGTTTTAGGGATTTTAAAAAGCATGCAAACGCAGTAAAAAAAAATAGCATCTTCAAACCAAGAAGCTAAAATTCTACACGAGGAGAAGGGTCAGTTCCTGAGAAATCTAAGAGGCTTTTAACATTTGACAAGATTGGGAAGGAACAAACAGCACCAAATACTATTTTTGGCTGAAAGAAAGCATTTATAACAAATGACCCTGATTACACACAGGTATACGAAAATTTCAGACATCTTAAAAATGCAGATTTACTAACATAAACTTAAAAATGGAATAGAAAAGTAGTAAAAATTGAGATTAGCATGTTTATTATAAACTTAACAAAAATTACATTATTTACTACTGTTTACTTTTTTCCCATAACACCTAGTGATGGTGAATGTTCAGGTAAATGGCAGACCCTAATGTACTGGCCAAAGTGGGTACAGCCATTCAGGGGACAGTTTGGCAATTAGTCTTCTGTATTAAGATTCTTCAAAATATCCATACTTTTTCTCAAGAATTCTACCTCTAATAATTACCTTAAGGAAATAACAATAGATAGCAACAAAAATTTATATACCAAAATGTCTACTGCAATATTATTTAAAAATCAGATTATCTAGCCCTGGCCAGGTAGCTCATTCGGTTAGAGCATCACCCCCAGATGCTAAGGTTGCGGGTTGAACCCCTCGTCAGGGCATGTACAAAAATCAACAAATGATTGCATAAATAAGTGGAACAATAAATCGATATCTCTCTCTCATTCTCTCCCCTCCCTCTCTCTAAAATCAATCAATAAATTTTTTTAGGAAGGGAATACTCTAAATGTCTAATAGAAATCTGACTAAATGAGGCTACCATGTAGATATTAATACCCACACTGTCAAAGCAAATTTCAATGACACAAGACAGATAATCTTGCCCTAAAATATTAATGTTCTGAATCCAACTTTTTTATTTTGCTTACCTGCTCTGTGTGTGTGTGTGAAGCTCCACATTTTTGGACACACATGCAATATTGGATATATACTGACTACGTCTGGCAGGACTGTGAATGATAGTTATCCTCATGTTTTTCTGGAATCTTCATTATTCCTTCTATAAACAAATTCCACTGTTACAATAAAAAAATTTAATGTTTTAGCCAAGCAATAAAAATATTTACAGGGGAAACACAGCAGAGCATAAGTATTTTTGAGAAAGAAAAAATGAACCAGAAGAATAAGAAGTTCTGATTCACTAAATTTATTTAGTAAGAATAATTTGTGCATCTTAAATTTCTACTCTGTCTTCTTGGGATGATGACCAAAACAGGGAAGTGGAAAACCCCACCCCCCGCCAGTTCCTCAGAAGGGGATGCTCTCCCTCTCTCCTTCCCTTCCCCTCTAAAGATAAATAAATAAATATTTATTAAAAAAAAAAAAAAAGAAAAGAAAGAGCCCCTACTGGGACTGTGAAATTGTCTTTGTGTGGCAATGCCAAGCAAAAAAGAAACCAAAAAGACATTTCCCTGTCAGTGGCGGGTAACTTCTCCTGCCCCGGCCAAAGCCAGGGGCCGGTGTATGTGACCCTGTGATAACCCCTGAGTCCCTGGGCAGGGACTGTGTTCCTGTCTGTGTTCCTGTCCATCACTTGAAACCTTCCAAATATAATCCAAAGAACAGAATGATTCACAGGAACAAACCCCTACTGTACGCCTCCTTTGATAAATAGGCTATTTTCAAGCCCCAAATACAGAACTGATCTCCTTTAATTCTAGAACCTGAAATATGAGAGCCAAGGGAGAGGTTCAAAACCTCTTTTGAACCCTCATTTTTTGATACCTGCTCCCCGTCAAGTCTGGCCCTTCGCCTCATCCCGACGCCACACACACCCTCAGACACACACCCCCTCCTCCCCACACTTCTGTGTCCCGCCACACCCTCACAGGGTAACACAGTGGCCACTGCTGCATACTTCATCCGCTGGTCCAGAACCTCACCTCGAGTCTGCTTTGTGCTTCTTTAGACAACCCTGCCCAGGTCGGAAGTGTTGCTGTCCCGATCAGAGTCCTGGACGTGAACGACAACGCTCCGGAGTTCCCCCGATTCTACGAGGCCTTCGTCTGTGAGAACGCCAAATCGGGGCAGGTAAGCTGCCTGCGAGGCACACACCTCAGTGAGCTCCCCATGCCGCAAGGACTATCACGGGTGACCAAATCTGCCATCAGAGAAATTTAGGCTCCAGAGTGCCCAACTTCTCCTGCATATCACGTTGCAACAGTTCACTCGTTAAGACGACTATCTGGAGTCTCCATCACACTGTACAATCTGAAGATGACGATGCAATTTACAATGCTTTGATGCTGGTCTGATTCACCGGCCAGCCTGTAACACGCTATCCGCCCGCCTTGGAACTGAACTGCAGAGAACCAACTTTAATGACGTGCTCTGGGGCCTGGAAGGGAGGCACCATGAAGATCAAAGGAAAGAAGAATCCTCCCTTTTCCTCAGTTTAGCACTACTCCCTGGAAATATTTACAGTGGGGAAATAGTTTAATTTTTGTATCTTCCTAACCCCCATTCTTAACTTCTGGCGACAGATGCCTCGTTTAGGGACTGCATGCGGATTCTCAGAACGTTTTGTGACCTAGAATTACTATCCCCGCCCCTCCCTCACTTAAACGCCCCTTTATTAGTGCTGCTCATGCCACGTAAGTTTTGAGAAAAAAATTAATCTGAAGGAACAAATTTCTACTTAGTTGAAACAACTTCAGTTCTGTAACCCTCAGGAAAAAAAATGTACTTTTTTAAAGCCCACTTTTAAACCTAAATGAGAATCTGGTTGATCAAACTCCAAGAGGTACAACTGAGAAACATCCAAAACCCTGCCTGGAGTAGCCACATCCAGACCAGGCACTCGTCCGCCCGGTGCCCACCCTTCCACGCCTCGGGCGCAGGCCGCCCTGTCCCCCCCGTCCGCTCCCACCTTGTAAGCCGAGCTCCTCCTCTCCTTACAACCCAGCAGACTCCCTAACAGCCCCGTTTCCCCGGGGTACACACTGTGGCCCCATGGACTCTGGAGGTGGGGTGCAAACAGGCCAGGAGAATCAGTGTGCAAGTTCTGAGTGTGTGGCGTGCGTGTCTCCAAGGCGGGGACTCAGGCTCTGGCAGCCCAGGCCTTCGCTGTGCCGTGGTTTGGGTTCTCTCTCCTCTCACTCGCCTGCTCCACCACCTCCAGCTGCACAGAGGGACTATGTCTGTACAGCCGAGCTCACTGCAGGCTGTCCCGACACGTCTTCACATTCTGCCAAGTCAGTTTATTCGTTAAGACAGTTTCCTATCTTCCAGGGGGTGGGGGGAGTGTCCTGTAGAGACTTTGAAATAAATTATTTCATCCATTGACTCTTGAAACTCTGTGCAATGGTCTATGGCACTCCTAAAATTTTTTTAACAAGTCAGGGGCAATTCTACTTCCACATCCATTGAATTTCTGGCCTAGAAAGACATGAAATTTTACACAGCTCATAAAAGTTACAATGAAGAGTTTATAGCATAAGAAATGATCCGTGTTATTGTAAGAAAGGAGGTATAAAAACCACATGTGCATGCTGAAGTTATGTAAAATTATGTCTGTATGAACCAAGACTGAGAGACAAGATATAAAAATAGCAATAGCTACTATGCACAGATGGGTTTTGAGTGAGGGGGGTATGGGCCTTTATCTCAATAATTTGTTTTATATTATGACAATGTATTATACATTGTGTTCTATTATGACAATGTATAATAAAACAAAATAGTGCTTTCTAAGATCATGATATGACAAATATATACTACTTTATACTACGACATGACAAGAGGCTAATTTTTTACCTATAGTATAAAGAGAGTGCTCACTAGCATAGTAAAAGCTTTCATGCTGCGCTCAGCCCTCATTGAGTGCGTCTTCTGATTCCTTCATGCCCTGCCTTCACCGCTGCTCACCGAGAGGGATGCATGTACCCAGCAGCTTGGCAGACGCAGAGCTGACGACAGTGCCCCAAAAGTCCAACCCGAGGAGGCAGGGTCTTCGCTCAAGCTTTCTTTAGAGCCCTGAGGCCAGCCAGCCCTATGTCTCAGGCCCCCACCTCACCTGTATATACGATTTCACAGGTCAGATGTCCTGAAATGAATTTCCAACACCGTTAACCAACAAAAGCACCCATTTATAACATGCATCAGCAAGTCTGTGCTGCACTGCAGGCCAGATGGAAGGTACAGGACTGGTCTCGGCAGGGATTCGGCAGGGATTCGGCAGGGATGGGGCAGCAGGGCGACCCCGGTATGTGCACAGCACTGGCGCCAGACGAGACTGTGGGGCCAGTTTATCTTCAGAGCCCCCCTGACCTCTCTCCTTCAGTGCAGCGCCACTCCCCCAATTTTTTTCAAGGGGCCAGTTGCCAGCTGGGTTCGCCAGGAGGCATATCTGGGGATGGTGTTCCAATTAAGATGCTTATTCAGGAGTGTTCCTGGGCCAAAGCCTGTAGAAGGGAAAGACTTTTGCAGACTGGGCAAAAGGAGAAGCCCAGCTGCAATGCAGACCTACCGGCAGCCTTGGGTGACTCCACAGGGCTCTAGAACTAGAGTTCTGCCAAGCTGAGATGGGATGGCCAGGCCTCTGTACTACTGCCATCAGTCACTGGATGTGGGCTGTGCTGGAAGTTTGTGGTGACTGGGGGCAGGTGGTTCCCAGCGACTGAGGCAACCCCCAAAGAGACAGGTGAAGGCTGGGACACCGAGTCCTTCACTGAAGGGGATCTGAGCAGCACACTGTCCACCAAAAGTCCCCTGGCTGGAGCTGCCCGTATGCAATCCCCAGAGTACTATGAGGGAAGTAATGCCTCCCTCAACTTACGGAGAAACAAAGACTAAGCCAGCCCACCTGGGCCCAGCCAACCTTTGCTGTCTGGCTGCTACCCCGGCAGAAACACAGCTGGCTCTTAGCAAGATGTCCCGTCTCCAGGGCCCGGCCCAGCAGGGGTGGAGGAGTGTGTGCTATTGGTCGGCAGAGAAGCACACACACAGGAAGGAGACCGCCCACTCCACACCTTTTCTATATGTCCCCAAGTCCGTGTGCCAGTGGTACAATGGTGTATTTCACACCGCTCTTGTAGAGGCTTTTCATCATGGTCTTCGTAACCACGAGGCAACTAACTACTTGGAAAATCACTGCAGAAAAGGCAAACTTGGGGCCAGAGGAGCTGCGGAAGAAGCCAGCCCACCTCCTCCTCTCCGCAGCCCCCAGATCTGCTCCTGATTCTGGTCTGCCCTGCACACTGCACCCTGGCGGACTTGTGCTCTGCACCTTGTCCAGCTCCCTTCCTGCCAACAGAGACCCACTAACCTGACCCAGCCAATGTGCCCTTCCAGGTGCTGGTCATTTTGAAATAGGGGCCTCTCAAAGAAAACAACTTGGCCCTGAAATATTAACCCAGCGTGGGCTTAAAGTGGTGGGGTGAGAGGATGAAAAAGTGGGAGAGGAGCAGAACCTTGCAGCACCCCAGAGTTCGTTTATTCAAAATCTTCTACTGAGACCGCCTAACAGCGGCTGGCATCGTTTTGAGAATACGTTACGTCGATGTCTAACACCCGAGGTATTTAGCTAACACTCACCCTGTGACGTTAGTGTAGTCAGGCCCAACAAAACACCAAAACGAAACCCTGACTTTCGGGACAGCATGGAGATCTTCCAGGTGAGTGTCGGGATACCCTCCCCATTGGGTGAAGTAGCCTGCGGTTGGATTTCGGGGTCTGGGATGTCACTGGGCCCTGAAACGTCTTCTTTTGGCTCCAGCTCACCTGACTTCATGTCCCTCCCTCAGCTGATCCAGACGGTGAGTGCAGTGGACCACGATGACCCACGCAACGGCCAGCACTTCCACTACAGCTTGGCCCCCGAGGCTGCCAACAACCCCAACTTCACCCTAAGGGACAACCGAGGTAATCAGTCAGGCGGATGGCGGCTACCGATGTTCTTCTACGGTTTGGGCTGGTACCTGGGGTTATCCCACTTGGGGTCAAAATCCGCCTGCTCTTTACTAGCAGGGGAGACACTAATGCTGATTTGTAGTGTCCTTCAAGGTTTTCTTTCAGAACATCAGAGACAAAGGACGTCCTCTGCCGATCCTGAAACCTTCCTTCAGTCAGTTCACACGGGTCTGAGAGCTGGCTCCGCCCCAGACACTGTGTAAGGCACCCAGGCAGAAACCGGCCCTCGCCCCAGAGATGGCAGCCGTGTTTGTATGTTCTGTAACCACAGGAAGACGCTGCGAAAGATGCTGGAAACTGGGCGAGATAAAGAGGAAAACCTGAGGGAACACTTCTAAGCAAGGATCAGAGAGGGAAACAGTAAAAAGCTCCCAGAACAAACGGGAGGCAAAGGCCAAGGAACAGAGAGGGCAAAGGGCGAATACGGGGCCTCGAGGAGCAGTTTCAGCACTGCAACAACTGCTATACTTTAGAAAGACCCAGCCGGAGCCCCCTGTTCCAGAAAGTGCTCGCCACCGCGGCTCTGCCCGGATGGAATTCCAGACCTTCCTTCCCGATGAGCGCCCCATCAGCGCGGGGCTCTCTCCACTCAGCGGACTCTCCCCTGCGCACCAGGGAAAATGAGGGGCTTCTGTGCTCCAGCCAGATCATTTTCAAAGAAAGATCAGAACCAGTGAAAACTAATTCAGGTCTGTCGAGTGAACCCTTCTGTCACTAACTCTGCTACCAACCAGCTGTCTGACTTGAGGCGAGAGGTCTGCAGGGGCCCCACGCTCACTCCAATCCTACAACATAAGTCGGCAACTTATAACGATCTAAACAAAGGCTAACAAGCAGTCGTGGTTAGACATGCCTGGCCTTATCGCAAACATCAATTATCTGAGACTTAAAGAATTAATTCCACCCCACGTGCTATTCTGTTGTTAACAGTTGAGCATATCAAACCTGTTCCCTTCTAAATGGGAAGCATTCTTCCAAGTCATCCCCTGATCTGTTTGTTGTCACAAAATCACCATGACAATTCTGGAAGGAACGGCAACATAAATTATAACAACAGAACTACCACAATTAAACACCCTGGTATTTCCATCGGGTCCAATTTTGATCTGTTTACTTATGTGCTTTACGAGGAAACCCTTCCTGCCACGCGGCTCAGCCCCCAGGACTGGTCTCACAGTGGGAACCCTGGGAAAATGACACGTGACACTGATTCTCCCGACTTTCAGCTGCGTCACTCTAGTCCTTCACTCTGGTATTTGCCAGAAACAACATGCAGCAAACTTCTTACAGGTGAGTCTGGGCACCGATTCATGGAGCCAACGCCGTAGAAAGACGGGCCCCCGGAACACCGTGACTCTAAAAAGACAGGAGTCCTCTCCTGGTAGGCTTTCCACAGTGGAAGTCAGCACATCCTCACCGGAAGGAATAAACTCTTGGTCTCCTCGTGACAACTTACTCCACAAGTACCCTTCACTGAGGCTCACAAAAAAGCCGGTCAATACCTGACATGATGGGTCTATCGTCAAGCCCCCCCCTCCCAAGCCCCCCTCCCATGCCCAAAACATGACGCCCTTTTATGAACACAACAGAGCGCTGTCTCGAGGAAAGCCCTGCTTCTTTGTACCACCCAAAGCGTTATGAAAAGTGCTGTGTATATATAGCACTTTACAATTAACGTGCATTTCCCCATACTTTGCTTTACTTGGTATTTATAATAGCCCTATAAGGTTTGAAGGAAGTTGCTAATCCCTCTGGTTTGTGTAGCCTGATCTGGTATATAAGGAAAGGAAACGCATCAGTGAGTAAACATTAAGATTGGGACTGGAAGTTGGGGCCCGTTTTAGCCACATCAAAAAAAGAAAAAAAGAAGAAAAACGTTTTGTGTCACCTTGGAAACAAATACTTTTTCCAAATTGGTTACTAAACTCCTAGTTACCATATCCAACAAAAATTCTGTGACTATTATAGCCCAGAACCCTTCCAGGAGCAGACTCAGCAGCGTGATCTGACCTTTTTTATCTTAAATAATTCTGAGATCAAGAAACACGTGATGTGCAGCAGGAATAACACTTCCATGAAATTCAGCTCTGGTCAGACTCTCTTAGGACCTGGACTCAACTGAACCAAAAAACAAAAAAGATTTCCGTTTCTGAAAAAAACAAAATGAAAACTGTGAAACAGAACTAACAGTATCTAGCAACTGAATCTGGAAAACAGAAAACTGAGTGGGCTGTGTGGTAGGTGGAAGTAACAACATAATCCTCAGGTTGGCAACCAGTTGCTATCTTTATCTGCAAGTAAGAGGAAAGGCCTGTGCCAAAGCAGGACGCGATTTCAATTAGCTGAATAATTTTCAGCTAATGTAACTGAACTAAACAAACCTTTACATAGCGCAATGGAAGGAGTGTAACTTTGGAGTCAGAGAGACCAAAGTTCAAATCCCAGCTCTGCTACTAAATTAGTGACTCCGACCAAATTACATCAGCTCTCTACATTAACTCTCTCATTGTAAAAGGGAGAGATTATCACCAAACTGTTGTGAAAATTAAATGAAATGCTGCACGTAAAGTCGAAGCACCCGACACATAAGCACTCACTGAACAAGAGAAAAGCAAGAGAGGAGAAGATGAAAAATTTAATTAAAAGGGAATGTATTAGTCAGTACAGGTTAGGTTATGCTGCAGGAACAAATGATACGGAAATCTCAACGACTTAACACAACTACAGTTAGTGTCTTGCTCACAGAAAGCTGGCAGAGGGATGACCCAGGAGAGCTGGCTGTCCATGTGCGGCCCAGAGTCCCAGACTCCACCCCAAACGCTCCTTCCTGGCACCACACCACGGCAGAGCACAGAGAATCTCACACCGGCTGGCACAGGGTTCTGCCCAGAAGTGACATGAATGACTTACTGCTCATTTTTCATCATCTAAACTGTCCAAATTCAAAAGGGTAGAGAAGTATAATCCTATGTTACGTATGTCCAAGAAGGGAAGGAGAACCAGAAATGTTAATATTGATACTAATAACGTTTACTTTGTTAGACTCAGAATTTTGTGTGAAGTTGTAGACTCTTCCCTGTGAAGTGTGAGACACACCCAGAGGGCCCTCCGTGGTGACAGTCGCCTTGAGAGTCACTGCTTGTGTGTCCTGCCACGTATCTCAAACTCTTCCTGTGCCAAAAGTGATCTGAGCTCTGCAAAAGTATCTCTGATTTACAATTCAACCCCCCTCAAGGAAACTTGAAAACACAGATTAAAAAAGTAGAAGATCCCAAAACCGAACACTGGACAAGTGTAATACAAATACACACGCGCACACACCAGCTTTAGGAAAACAACAAATAATTCTGCTAATCCCTTTCAAAACTAGAGGGGGAAAAAACTGGTACTGCTGATCAGGAACGGATTTTCGCCAAGTTCACGTTAACTACTTAAACTCAGACCACCAAACAGGGAGAAATCACAGAGTGTCACATGATCAGAGGATTTCAAATGAGCCTCTGCTAAATAAGCAGATTCTGTTTGAAGGCGCAGGAGGAGCTGGTGACTGCATTTCAGAGGCATAAAGTAAACAGCAAAAGACAGGAATTCTAGCCCAAGCAGCAAAAATAAGCGAGCTGCCACGGACACGTGGGCTCCTCCGCATTCTTCTCCTGGAGGCGCCACTCGGCCCGGCCGCGGAAAGCTGCTCAAGACCACAAGTCATCACTGACAGTTCATCTCTGTCTAGCTTTCCCAGGGACATTTCAGTCAGATGTGAAGTCTGACAGTTTGCCCTGGGCAATTTATGTCACCAAGGGAAAGACATAATCTCAAAAAGGGTTTCTCTCCTAGGCCTCGGGGTTTTGCCTAGAAACAAGTAAAATCCTGGTTTCTGCATCCAAATGCTGATCCAGACAAGGCTGTAGCTAGAGGCCTGCAGGAAATGTTTGACATCCTTCTCTCCTTCCCACAAACACTCCCCCACGTTCCTGCCCTGTAATTGTCCTCAACCCAAGAGACCAACTCATTTGCTGTGTCTTCCGTTTTCTTCTTCCCTCTCACTTTCCTCTCCCCCTTTTCAACCCCGGAACCCTGTCTTCTGCAGATAACACGGCCCGCATCCTGACCCGGAGGTCTGGCTTCCGGCAGCAGGAGCAGAGCGTCTTCCACCTGCCCATCCTGGTATCGGACGACGGGCAGCCGGTACTGAGCAGCACGGGCACGCTGACTATCCAGGTGTGCAGCTGTGACGACAGTGGCCACGTCCTGTCCTGCAGCCCCGAGGCCTACATGCTCCCGGTCACTCTGAGCCGAGGTGCCCTCATCGCCATCCTGGCCTGCATCTTTGTCCTCCTAGGTGAGTAGGTGGCTCCCCTCCGTTCTGTGGGTCCTGCAAAGGCTTCCTCACTTAGACGTCACTCAGTCTCTGTCCTGGCACAGCTGTTCAGAGCTAGTTTTCCGGGCCACACTTCCTGGAGGCATGTGGGCCAAGGAACCACTGCAGGCGCTGGGACTAACAAAACAGACGTCCCGGCGCTCACAGAGTTTACCGCAGAACACAGCGGGTCATCTGACACCACAGAGCCAGAATGACCATTTCGGACAGGACACAATGATCCCCTCCTCTAATCCTTCATTTCAGATAGTAAGTCCTAGTTAAGTCACAGGAGGCAGTGACAGACCTAAGGACAAATGTCACAGACAGAGCGAGGCCTAAACGCAGGCAGGCCCCACACTGTGCAGCCCTGTATCCGAGAGGTACGGCTCTTCTCCTAAGTGTTCACCCCAGATTCTGGAGGTGGTAAGTGTCAGAGAGAAAGGATGAGGCACAGGGTGTTCTGAGGGGTCAGGAGGTAGGGTAGGTGCCGTTCTAAATTGGGTGCTGAGGCGAGGCCTCCCCAGTAAGGAGACCTGTGACCAGAGGTCTGAAAGCAGTGATGGAGCGAAAGCACAGGGCGGTCTGGGAAGATGAGCTGTCTGGGCGTTAGCGCCCCTCCCAGGCACCGCGGCCATCCACGGGGGGCGGCGACCAAACGGGCAGGCCGCCTCTGCTGGTGAACTGGAAAGATGCGCCCACGGCCCGTGGGACCGCACTGCCGCGGGAGGGGTCCCTTCTTCCTCATCTCACGCCACACTCACGCAGCCGCCCAGCCCCCCGCACAGAAGGCCATTCGTGTAACTGTTTTTGATCTCCACACTCAAAAACAAGCAGCGGAACACCTAAACCAATTCTTGAAACTAAGAATATTCCGGTACATATATCCCTACACACATATCGTTTATAACATACACATTTTACTGAGAGAAAAGCAGACTTAATAGATAGGAACGTCATCCAACAGGATAGGAATCCCGGCGCTCTACGAGAGGGAAGCGTCAAGCAGCAGGGACTTAGCTCAGAACAGACATGCAGATGCCCACACACCACCTGGGCCCCAGGCTGCCCTCCACACCGCGACCCCGCCAGACCACAGAAACGAGGCCCTGACCGCAAAATGTTAACACGACTCAGCGCTAGGTAGGCCTGGAGAATATGCTTCTCACAAAAAAATTCTTCTAATACAACAGATGGTTTAATCCTGCTGCTTCAGTTCAGTGCTACATGAAGGGAGAAGTATATAAATAAGCAACGTTTCTAAGTCCTTGGAGCCCGGAATTACAGGGTATTGTCCTGTTTCTAGCCCTTGGGGGCAAGCAGTGGATAAAACCTTCCTGCAATTCCCCGAGTGTCCAGAAGGTGGCACTGGGAGGCCTTGGGTGCCTAACAGGATAACCCAACCCGCAAGAGGCCTTTGATGAAACCGGCTCTTAGGAAAACGCCCATGTTTTAAGTTCACCCCGACCCAAGAGTAGAGGTGGTGTCATTAAAGAAAGACTGATTTAAAGAATCTGGACAGGAGAGGCTCTCAAGTTAGCAGTGGTGTGCGAGGGGCAATTTACTGTACCTCCCACACCCATTCTGCCTTGTCTTTGAATTGCAGAGAATAAACACCTTGTCAGGAGCTAACCTGAGCAGGGCTGTCATAAGACCCTCACAGTTTTAGGCACTCATTTCCAAGAATGCACTACCCACATGAGATATAACTCATAAAAGTGAGTGAGATTAAACTGAAGTTGACTTGCCAACAAAATACTACATTTTGTGGACAATTAAACAGTAATTTTTATTTTTGTGGGATTTTTCTTTTTTATTTCACATCTCACGTATCTAGTTCCTAGAAAACACTCACCGGCCCTATAGGCTGTGCTTAGAGTTTCTAAAGAATAAACATCCCTAGGACCCATTCTCTTCCGTCAGGGAAGCCTTTTAACAGTTGCTGGGATTAATAATCCCAAATCTTCTCCCAAAACTGATTTTGCAATATTTGCTGTTTACATCAGATTACCTGCAATACTTGCTGCTTAAATCTGATTATGGACACTCAGGGAATCAGATTAAAAATAAATATGCAGCAATCTGTATTTTTCAAGAGACGGACCAGTCCCATGAACCGCCTAACTCTTCATCACCAACAGAATTCCTTCCGGCAGATACTCCCAGACTTCCCAACTTTCCTCGCTAGTGTTTTCTAGTGAAATGCCGTCCTGGTGTCACGGATGTGAAGGTTTTCCCAGGCCCTTAGGGAGAACCGCCTAGCCCTGCCCTGTACTCCCTTAGCAACGCCTGTGGCCCTATGACAGGCTTTCCCGCTGCCAGACTTGTACTAATCACGTGTCCACAGTCTCCTGAGATTGCTGATTTATAAAAGCAGTCCTCACATTCCACATCATCTCCACATGGATTAGCACCATGCTTAAAAAATACCAAGTTTAGTAACTATTTATGGAACCCCATGAAAAGCTTGTTCACTTAGAACCCCACTTCTGCTGGCTGCGTCCACCCACATCACACCCCAGCCTCCGATACCCAGTTGCAGCCTCCACACCCTTGGAGCCTGGCAGCCCTCTGCTCCGAAATCCCACAGTCCTGCAGTCCATGAGTTCTCTTTTTGCACAGAAAGAAAGTACATGAAAGTATGTAATTGTTTCCTCTGTGCGTTTTTGTCACTCAAACTCTTTGGGGAAATATTTGATATCAACATCATTAAGTGCAATCTACAAAAAGCATATTCTACATTCAAATTTAAAAAGCATTATCAGTTTTTTAAATCTACTCATTGCCTTACTGGGCATCTGACCATACCCCATGTTCCCCCTGGATAAACTGGGGTCTCATTCTGCAGTGCTGCCAGGCTGTCCGTGCTCCCCAGCTGTAACAACAGCCACCCGAAAAACAATCAATAGCAGTTTTCCAGCTAAAACCTCAACACGCTTCCTGGAAACCACTTTCCATTGTGATAAACAGTTCAATGCGATATTGTCTAGCTCTCCTTTAAACCTCATCAAACACATCCTGGAAAAAATATATATAGATATTTATTGGGATAAAATCTTATCCAAACCAGCAAGCCCGCATCTAACTGGGTGGTGCTTCTCTGATACCACGACGAACTATATAAAATGTCACTGCTCATTCCCTCCTTTCCACAAACACTGTTGGGTCCAGAAAGCCACACCCCCTCTCCAACTAACAGAAGGCTTTTCAGCGGAACTGAGTTTATCAGACAAGTGTGGTCACTCACGCTCTCTTTCCTGAAGGAGAGATAAAAAGACTAAGGCTTCTGACCGACACTTAGCGTATGAGTCTTTATGCCAGTGCACTATACATGATATTCACAGAGTAGGATCCTACTACGCTGCTAATGCAAGAAAGTGGGGTACCACTCACATAGTACAATAAAGAGAAATGCAGACCCCTCCTTAGAGTTGAAAGATGTGCTGTGATCCTCAGCCTGTACTACAGGCAGGCCACAGCGCCCCTGCTCTGTGGTCGGGATTTCGTGCCAGGTGGCCGGGCGTACGCACCCACACTCACTTTCACAGCGGCAGGCTGATGCAGTGAGACGTTCCATGACACTTCCCATCGAACCGCCTGGAGAGCAGCCCCGGCTTCACTTGCCCGCACTCTCAACCCAACCCGGTAGAATCCGTGAGAACCAGGCAGCCCCTGCGGCTGAAAACCCCCCCACGCTGCCCCCAGCTCCCTGCCCGGAAACTCGCCCTACCCTGGGTCAATCGAGGCCATCTCGGGTCAGGGGGGCGAGGCGCGGCTCCCGGGTCATCTTCCTGTGCTCTCCCCCCGCAGTGCTGGTGCTGCTCATCCTGTCCATGCAGCGGCACCGGAAGCAGCCGTACACCATCGACGACGACGAGAACATCCACGAGAACATTGTCCGCTACGACGACGAGGGCGGCGGCGAGGAGGACACCGAGGCCTTCGACATCGCCGCACTGTGGAACCCGCGGGAGGCGCAGGTGGGGGGCGCCCCCAAGTCGCGGCAGGACATGCTGCCGGAAATCGAGAGCCTCTCCCGCCACGTGCCGCAGACCTGCGCCGTCAGCAGCACCGTCCACAGCTACGTGCTGGCCAAGCTCTACGAGGCCGACATGGACCTGTGGGCCCCTCCCTTCGACTCCCTCCAGACGTACATGTTCGAGGGGGACGGCTCGGTGGCCGGGTCGCTGAGCTCCCTGCAGTCGGCCACGTCGGACTCGGAGCAGAGCTTCGACTTTCTAACGGACTGGGGCCCCCGCTTCCGGAAGCTGGCCGAGCTCTACGGGGCGGCGGAAGGGCCGGCCCCCGTGTGGTGACGGAGGCCCCTGCGCGCCAAAACCCTGAACCCGGGCGTTCCGGGAGGATGCTTCCCGGACAACATGCAACCAACCCCACGAGCAATACTGTGCTGGAGAGTGAGACTGGGGGAGCAGAAGAGCAGAATTCTCTCTGGGTCAGCTTTACTACTTGGTTAGATTACAGAAACACAAGAAGAAGCGGGCAGAATCTCCCATTATCTTTTTTTTCTTCTCTTTTCTTTTTAACTTTGGGACACACTGTATTCAAAGGCTCAGAGTCCAAGGTGAAGTATGGCCAGCTCGGCTTTTCTTTGCCTTTCACCAAGGCCTTTGTCACTTTTTCACCACAAAGAGGCTCTGATCTTAGGGTGACGATTGAAAGCAGAAAGGTCTACTCTCAGATTCTTTTTTTATGTTATTTTGTTCTCCAATTCAGAGTTTTGCTAGCTCGTCAAACCGAATAAACCAACCCACACAAAAGAACGCAGGGAAAAAAAGCTATTCGGTGAAATTAATCTACTCGTCCTGGGGTGGATCAAAATTCTTTTAACCCTTTTGAGACCAAGTGAAGGCAAACGGCCTTGCATGGGGGATGGATGGGCGGGGTGGGAGAAGGAAGAGGCATTGACACTGCGCTCAAGTTTTTAGTGGCTGAACCGAGAGGTGCTGGCATTACAACGAACGGAACTCCATGAGGTTGGAGTACGCTTGTTCTCACAGCGTGTTCACTGTGCCCCTGCAAAATCGTTCAGGAGGAAGCCAGAAAACCTGCCTCTTTTGCACTGTAGATGTCTCTTCCACGTGCCAAATGTGAAGATTAGATGCTACAAATGAAAGCCAAATAAGAAGAAGTATCTGATAAAAGCATGGGTTAGAGGGCTTTCCTAATCTGTGTGAGGTCAATCCGAGGGATGTTTACATACTGTAGATAACCTACTTGAACAAAAATCAGTATTATAGAGGATAAATGGATGTAAGAGAATTACATGTATAAGTTTTGTATATTTGTTAATAATTTTGGTAATAAATATGATGTACTGCAATCTCAGTACCCTAGCACTTCTTTTAATAAAAGCTGAATAGAAGGGAGAGTCTGTTGCTAATGCGTTTAATTGCTGAGCAGGTAAAAAGGTGGCTTGGTGATCCTGGCCTGGCCGCAGATTGTTGGGGCTGGAGCTGGTTCATAAGGCAGAGCCAACAGCAAAGAAGTATGAGGCTGTGTGTTCTCTTTAAGTCACTGAACATAGGAACAGCTATGGTTCAAACTGTTACACTTTTCACAACCATTATTCCCCCCATCTCTGAAAAGAGCAAAAGGATTTGAGAACATTGACAATACAATGGTGAATTTTGCCCACATATTTTATTTTGGGAGAGGGTTTTATACATAATCACCAAAATGTCAGGCCACTGGGCTTTATTCTCTGTTCTATTGGCAAATCAAATATATACAAACAGATGTGCACCAAACATATACCAGATATGTACAGCTCATCCACACTGAATGAGCTCACAGAGTTTGGGAACATATATTATTTATCTCTCCTTCCTCCATAGTAGCTAATATAGCCCTTTGCATACAGTGGGTGCTTAATAAGTGCATTATAGATACATGATAAAAGGGATCTCTTTTGTCGATATCCTATTACTAAAAGATATTTTATATAATTGTCCTTATAATTGATGACAACTATGAACAAAATAGTTTTCTGCATGCCATGGTTACAGTAATAGTTCTCAAATTTCTGTTTATTTATGTCAGAATCACCTGGTACAATCGTTAAACAGTAACTTTTTGGGCCTTATCCCAGACTTTCTAATCCAGCCGACCTGGGGCCATTTGCATTTGTGACAAGTTTCGAGGTCATGCTGATGCTGCCACACTTGGAAAACTCGGATGCAGAGTCTGCCTCTCTCTCTCTCTCTCTCTCTCTCTCTCTCTCTCTCTCTCTCTCATGTGTCGAGATTAGATGATCTGCCCACTTACACTGGGGCCCGCCCACCCAAAGTGGTATTGTGAACCTCTTTTCCAGACAAGGACAGTTTGGCAGAAGTATGTGCGGCGGCTGATGTGTGTCTGGGAGCCGGAAGGATAGACTCTATGCTGTTTACCTGGTACACTAGCAGCCAGGCCAGTTCTCATCTTCAGTATGAGCATATTAACCCTTCCTCCAGTGAAAGGCAGTTCTCACACATCCTCTTTAAGGGTGAGGTGTGATGTGAAAATAAGCTTGGCAAAGCAAAACCATGAACTTGAGTCCAAACTAGGACCTAAAAAATAAGTGATTTGAACATGGGCAAATTAACCCAAATAACATTCTTCCTTTCTGTCACTAGCCCTGAGGATAAGTCTGTGACTGTTTCACTATGTGTTGCATGTACTAAAATGTGGGAACAGCTGTTATCTGAACCACAGGGGCTTTTCACGCCCCACATCCTGCAAGAGTGGTGCCCATGATACTGGGCGTGAAGTGATTAAACAGAACCTTCCAGAGCTCCTAGTCCCCTGGAGGATGTTTAATGGTGTGACACAGGAAGTGTGAGAGAAACACAGGATAGGAGGTCCATTTCAGCTCTCAGGCAGCTAAAATACACTCTTCCCTCCAAATGAGTTTCTTAATTCCTTTTACACAGCCACAATTTACCACAAATGCTGCTTCCCCTGAAAAGCAAACACCCTCCCCACCAGACAGAATGTGGAGAGAGCGATCAGGTTAGACAAGACAGCTGTAAAACTACTCAGCCATTCCTTTGTTAAGAGGTAAAGCAGATAGCTATACAATACACGTTTGCGAAAAGCAGGAGCATCTGTAGAAATCAATTAAGACTCTGTCTACAGCTGTATTCTGAAAAGGAACACAAGCAAAGATAAAAATTAGCCATGTACTTTCTGATGGTCTAAAAAAGCAGACCGTCTCTACACGGCAAATAGTGAAGGCAAATCGGAGCAGTTCACACACATGTAACATACACAGTCTCATGTTCCGATATATGTATACACCAGAAGCCACCCCACAATCAAAATAGGAATGTGTATCACCTCCCAAGCTTTTCTCACACCTCTTTGTAATACCTCTCTCCCACCTCTGCCTGCCCCTCCCCAACTCCAAGCAACTACTGTGTGCTTTCCATACAGAGTTTTATACAAATGGAATCATACAGAGTAAACTTTTTGTGGAGGTGGGGCTTATCTGGCTTCTTTCACTCAGCATTATTTTGAGATTCATTTATGTCATTGTGTATATCAATAGTTTATTGCTCTTTGTTGAACTATAGTACTTTATTATATGCATAGACTATTTGTTTATTTGTTCAGTTTTTGGTCTGCTCAGGCTGCCGTGACAAAATACCATAAACTGGGTGGCTTAAACCACAGAAGTTTATTTTCTCACAGCTCCAGAGCTGGAGGTTCAAGATCAAGATGCCAGCAGGGTCGGGTTCTCATGAGGACTCTCTTCTGGTTTGCAGGTGGCCCCTTCTCCTTGTGTCTTTACTTGGTGGAGAGTGTGAGTTCTCTGCTATCTCCTCTTATAAAGTCACTAATCCTATCAGGGCCCCACTCTTATGACCTCACTTAACCTTAATTACTCTCTTTCTCCAATTAAAGGTTAAGCCTTCAACACACAAATTTGGCGGAGACACAATTCAGACGAGAGCAATTCCTGTGCTGATGGACATTTGGGTTGTTTATAGCTTTTGGCTGTCACAAGGGAAGCTGCTAATAGCATCTGTGAGTCTTTGTACGGACGCATATTTTCTTTCCTCTTGGGTAAATACTTAGGAGTGGAACAGCTGGAATCATATGGTAGGTATGTGGTTTTTTTTTCCCTAAACCACTAAATTGTTTCCCCAAATCTTTTTATGATTTTCCATCCCACCAGCAGTGTATAGAAGTTCCATTTCCTCACTTGGTATGATCGATTTTTTTACATTTCAGTCATTACAATAGGACAATAGGAGAGTTGTCATGTCTCACTGTGGTTTTAGTTTGTAATACCCTAATGATTAATAACATTAAGCATCTTTTTATGTACTTATTTGCTATCCATATATCTTATTTGGTGGAGGATCCATATGTATTTCTCCATTTTTAATCAAGTTGAGTTTTCTTTTTATTTCTAGATATAAGTCCTTTATCAGGTACATGCTTTGCAAAGATTTTTTTCCCCCAGTCACTGGCTTTTCATTCTCTTAACAATGCCTCTGAAGGACAAGAGTTTTTTATGTGGATGAAATCCAATTCATCAACTTGTTCTCTCGTAGACTGTGCTGTTGGTGTCATTTGTAAGAAATCTTTGCCAACTCAAGGTCACAAAGATTTTCTTCCATATTTTCTTCTAAAACCTTTATAATTTTAGGTTTTGCATTTAGACCTATAATTCATGTTGGGTTTATTTTTGTACATCATTAGGTTTGAATTGAGGCTCTTTTCTTTTACTGGCTATGGACTTCCAATTGTTCTAGTATCTTTATTTAAAAAAAGCTATTCTTTTTTTACTGCATCACCTTTGAGCCTTGTTGTGAGTTAAACTCTACCTGCCAAAAAGATCATCTCAAGCCCTAACCCCCAGTACCTGTGAACATGACCTTACAGGGTCTTTGTAGATGCAATCAAGTTGAGATGAGGGCATACTGGGTTAGGGTGGGCCTCATACAACGACTGGTGTCTTGATAAGAAAAGGGAAATTTGGACACAAAAACAGACACGGAAAGGAGAACGCCTTGTAAACTGAGGCGGAGCCCGGAGTGACTCATCTTTAAGCCCAGGAGCATCAGGGCGTCTGGCAACCCTCCCTCAGGGGCTCCAGAAGGAGCCTGCCCACACCTTGAGTTCAGACCCCCAGCACTGGGAGAGAATGAATTTCTGATGTTGTCAACCGCCCAGCTTGTGGTAATTTGCTGTGGCAGCCTTTGGAAACAAGCCTTCCATAACACGTTTTAAAAGACCCATTTTACATAAAAAATAACAAGGTAGGAATCCCTCATGTGCCCATCAGTTTGGCTGGATCTACAACACACACACACACACACACACACACACACACAAATTAATTAATTAATTAATTAGTGTGTTCATCTTGGGGGACTGTTTTTTTTCTTTCAGCTGAGCCCTTTCACGTGTTTTGCACGTGCGGGAGGCCCCCAAAGATGCCCCACGGGGCTGGCAGGTCGTGGGCAGCAACAGTCCTCTGCAGCTGCCTTGGCAGCCCCGGAGCAGCTCCCACAGCTGCAGGCAGGCGGCAGGAGAAACGAATCAGCAGATGGCTGAGCAGAGGCACATCCATTCGCATGACCCCGCCGATGTGCGCAGTGCAGAGAGAGTATGGAGAATGGAGAAAGGCGTGTGCTTGCCAAAAACATCACCCAGTGCCCACCGGTCTGCAGGCCCCTCAGCAAAAGGACAGTGTTCAATGCAGGTGCCCTGGTGCCACGCCGGTGAGTTCCCCTTTCTGCAGGTGTAATGCTGCCCTGTGAAGTGGAAGAATTAACCTTCCCAGAGCAGGCTGCACGGCTTCCTTCGGTCTCTTGCACTTGACATTGCCTGGCTGCGCCTGGAACCTGATGCAATCCTGTGTGTTTCCCTGCCAGGCCCATGCGCAGTGACATTCACTCATCCTAATTGCTGTTCCTCACTGGCCCACTGAGGGGCACTAACCCTGTGACCTGCCATTTACCTCCAGGATTAGCTTCCGCAGCACCGCATTCTTCTATTTGCCAGTGACTTCTGGGTCTTTGACTATTGGAGTACACGGTGGTCCAAGACGGGGTTCTCAAATGAGGGGCATTACCTGAGGTGCATATTAGTTACATCTAAGAGGGGACTCAGGGCCACATCGGCATGCTCCAGGCTGACCTCACCACTGCAGAGCTGCAGAGCAGGGAAGGGAGGGAGATACTGCCAACTATTGAGCACCTACTGCACGCAGACACTGTGCCAAGCGCCTCCAATAGCC